TAATGACCGATATTCCGGGCAGAAGGTTAATAATTGTAAAGGATATAGAGTTAAAATACAACTCGCTCTGCTCGCTCTGCTGGTACATTTATGGAAACGTTGACACGCGCCTTATGCGCATTCTTCGGTCGGCGGAAGGACAAAAACGATGAGGTAGTTGACAGCGCGCGACGGTCATGTGAAAAGAGCGATAATGACTCGGCGGCGACGATGACGATCCTGTTGTGTACCGTTTCGCGGAACGTGCTCGGGAAACGTCGGATGATTCATCTGCTTTTGGATGGACGGCAAAATCGGAATCGTGTTCTGGGTCACCGAACTCGTCTCGCATCTTATCTAGTCGATTCTACGTCCCAAACGTATATATCGTTCGTAATAATCAAATCTGTTGCTCAAGCAATTAATTTGCAGCGAATAGATGTTATGGAATTATCTTATGCGGAATTAATTGGCGTGGAAAAAATTGCTAAATTTATCTCTGTAAACCTTATCGGATTTTTTCCGTACATTCGCTCTCTCTCTTTCCGCTGACTTCTTAAGCCCTCCGTGCATCAGATAGAAAAAAATTAAAATGCCGAAACACGTGGGGTATCTCATATCCCATATTATATTTCACTTTAAGTATACTAATTTAATACAATACAATAATTCCGACTGTCATAATATCGCGATTCTTGTTCCTTAAGAATATAAGAACAAAACAAAATAATAAACTCTTTAATCTTTTAAAACAAGAAAACAAATGTAATACTATTTTCTGCGAACTAAATTTAGCGGTTTAAATTTTGCTGGGGTATATATGTCACACTTCGACCTAGTGCACGGAGGTTAAGAAAAATCCCTGTTCCTACCCGGCAAACACAGATTATAACTACAATATTGCAGCATTGTAATATTTTTCTCTGCAATATAGGTGGAATATTACAATGTTGATGCAACATTACAGTTATAATCTGTGTTTGCTGGGTACCATCTTAATATTTCTCTTTTGTAATTACTTTTTATTGCGAGTACTTTACTTTTCCCTTTACGGGTAACTTCTCATTATTCCCGACAATAAACGGCGTTTCTCTCTTGTCAGTCTCTCCCTAGCCGCGTGCGTTTTAATACACAATAAATATGCACACTCGCAGCTGAGCCGCATAAACCTTGATTCAGCGCCCAGATGACAACGCGGCCAAGAGCTCAGCTGCTCGGCAATGGCAACAAATTCTAACAATACGCGACGTATGCGTTGTCATGTTTGCATTATGCAGCCCCGAGCACGCTGACACTCCACGTTGCACAATTGCGCTCCCCCCTCCCTCTCTCTCTCTCTCTCTCTCTCTCTCTCTCTCTCTCTCTCTCTCTGCCTAGGAACGTGTAGTGTAATTATAGTTCCGCTTTAGACGAAATAACACGCGGCGCGAAGGAACGCTTTGTTCAAAGCCGACGCTGTTTAATTCCTTCGACGGTTAATTGGCTTATTCGTGGTAGTTTTGCGCATCGCTGGAATATCGCGGAAACAATGGTGAATAACGCGTTGCGTGTTAATTCCGCATTGTTGTCGCGGTTACGTCGTATCAATCATCACGTGCGAACAGATATGGCACGTAACAAAATGTTTTAATACGTTAATTACACAAATTACACGCGCGTTTAATTTTTCACTACCTGGCGGCTGCGTGCAGAAGGTAAAGAACAAGATATCCAAAGTAAAATCGCAGTCAATTTCGTAAGTTTTACAGTGATTTAAACGAGCGCGTCGCAAATTTTATGTATGTCCGCTTCGTTCGGACGGAACCTGCGCACCTGCGCATGAACGAGCGCGAGGTTCATCATCGGCGGATATAAGGATGATTGTGCGGGATGAATCGCGTTTCGGATTGCAAGAATCAAGAGAATCGAGAGAAACAGCTACTTAATATTTTTCCGCGTCGGCATTTGTCACCGCCCTTGCACGTTTTCTGAATACCGTCGATTATACGCCAATTGTCTTAATGGTACTTACTCACGCAATTATAGTTTAACAAGTCGATAGGGGAAAAACGCTGCGCAAAACTGTACTGACATTTCGCGAAATGTATTGACAATATTTAGCGCAAAAAATTTTTACATTTGTCATGATCTATTTTTCAACTAATTTTCTATTCGCGTTTTATGCAAAAACGTGTATTACATTAGAGATTATGTTTATTTTTTACTAAACTAGTATTAAGATTATGTATATTTTTTTAAAAATTAAAAAAAAACAAACAATAAAACTTAAAATCATATTCTTCAGTATATAATAGTTATATGAATTAATAAAATAAAAGTATATTCGTGATAAATATAAAAATAAAATAAGTGAGGAATATAATTAATATAAGAAAAAAAGTGGATAATTAAAGAAAGATGATTAAATTAAAGCAAATGGAAGCCAATGTAATTTTGAAATAAGAATGTAAAGGAATTGTGTCGTTGCTTTCTTAAGCAAATCGTTTAGCAATTGAAAAACATTAATCCGAACTGAAAAGAACGACATGGAAAGAGATGATTGGAAAATTAATAAGGGCATGAAATTAAATCGTGTAGAGTTTAATCGCAGGTTAAGGCTACAATGAAATCATCGTCTTCGGAGTAATCGTCGTCGCGGTTAGGTGATTCCCCCTTCGTTATGCATCGCGTGCGCCGCAAGGAAGTACCGTTGAAACCGTACTTTCCTTTTCCTACCGGGAAAACGCCATTTCCGATTACACGTCTCAGAAAAGGTACGATCGGAAGAGATCGCCAAAAGGCAAAAAGGCAATTTGCTGCCGCAAAAAATGCGCCGTGTCGTTTCGCATCTCTTCTCTTGAAAATCATTTAGAATGTCCGAATATCTTTTAGTTTATTTACGTCAATGATTTACGTCAATGTAAAAATTAAAAATGTCTAGTTATATTAAAATATTACATGGTACTTTGAGTTTTTTTCATGGGTTCAGATTTTGCGAGTATTTCAGGTGATGCGCGATCGCCTCCTCAAAACAAGTTTTGCTCCTTTCCCTTCTAACTTCCTGAAACGTTCGCATTTCGCAGTGGACCGGCGTAAAAAAGATTATGACGCAAAGGCCAAGAGGTGAATCGGAAACAAGCCTGGATCGGAATAAATAATAAGTTGTTTTGTAACTACGTTATTTCACATTGTTTTCAAAAAGTACAAATAATTTTTTAAGTAAAATTCTCTTAAAATTTAGATTCTCAATCACAATATTTATTTGATTTTCTTAAAGTCGGAGTTACTAGATCCGCAATTTTCTCAACACTTCAAATTTAAACATAATTTTTTCATGTATGTAATACATGTATATAATTTCATCATTTTCATCGTTTTTCTACAAAAAATAAAAAAAAATTTATTTTTTTGTCAACTACAAAAATCATTTTCGCATTTTTTAAGTCGTTCTTTCAAACATATCCTAATGTCTTCGTTTATTCAAAAAAATTAATTTTATTTAAATGGACATTAACATTTTTTTCTCAAAAAACTTTCAATGCTCAAAATTCAAGAGGCTTTTTAACCGTGAGAGCTCTGCTTAAATCATCCTTCAAAAAGAATTTCTCATTTTAAACGAAATTTATCTTGAAGCCGAGATCATTGACTGCAATTTTATCGGCGACACATTTCCGGAAGTCATCGCGCGCTATAAATTTTTTATTTATTAAAATGTGTACGTACACGCATATTTCACGCGTGGACTCGTCCACGCGTTGTTTGTACTCGTGCCACTCGCCACTTTTAACCGCGATATCCCTACTACGTTGCCGTTCGCCAGCCAGCCGGTAGAATTACTAGTACGTGTACCTACATACGTGAGGCCCGACCGGCCCGAGAGCCCAGCTTGCGACAGTTGTTGCTCGGTCGCTCTCAAGGAGCCATCTCGGCTTCGACATAAGCCGGTTCCGTTCGAAGGGTTTCCAGTAAAAAGAATCTTCGAAGACATCTCAAAGGAGACTCCCAAAGAAATTATCCAGTAACATTTAACGCACTTCCAAGGGACTATCAAGGGACTCTCGCGAGGATCTGTCGACAGGACTAGGAGGACTTTATTAATTAGTTGGACGTCGGTTGCAAGATTTCGGGGTGAGTCGAGGATCATTCATTATCTTCAATTTTATTTATTTTATTTGTATATGTTTTTGTATTTTTTACATGTTTATATTTATAACTTATAATTTATTTTTTTTATTTATCGTATATTTATTTAATTAGATCGCAATAAGATAAATCTTTAGCAGATATAATAAAGAAACATGATAAAAAATGAATATATGATTGTGTGATTGTTGAACTTGAGTGCTCAATAAAGTTAAAAAAACGCTAAAGATAGTCGGTATCTCGAACGTATGTATATAAGTCAGCATAATCTGTCGGAAAAGCTATGGTACAAATGATAATAAACATAAAACGAGCTTCGAATCGGAGGGGCATGTCTAAATAGTCTTCGATTGCCTTTGAAAGTCCGGGACACAAATCGCGCTACGTTAGACGCAGAATGAGATGTTTGCGATTCGAATCAAACTAACATTTAACGATGTGCGTATGCCAATCGTGATCTCTTCTAGTAAATACGTGACGTTCATATGAATGTCTCAGCTATTCTCTCAACTATTTTCGCTATTTTATCGCGCCATTCTATCACTGTTTTCACAAAAGTCACGCACTGTGTCTTTCCATTGCTCCTGGATATCTCCACCATCGATGAACACGCGGGATACTCAATGCTTGGGAATAGGTCTTAATTGTTCGAGGAAAAATCATCATCAATTGATATTAGATCGAAAAAAATTGTTAATTGTTATATAAATTACATATTCTTTTTGCAAAAGCTTACTTTATTAAATAAATAATTAAATAAATAATTAACTCACAATCGGTCAAGCATTGTGTGCAAGTAGAACATTTTTTAGAATAAGCGTAGACAACTGGATTTAAATAGGAATTCAATTAAAAATACGATAAAAATTAAATTAAAAACTATGAGCGTGTGAATAAAGATAGAAAATAGAGATATAAATAAAAACTTGTATAATAAAATTATATAACGATGTATATATATGTATATAATAATAATAATAATAATAATAATAATAATTGAAAAGATAATAATGATTTCAAGATTTATATTTAAATCCGTCTACAGATGAATTAAAACCAATGTATTTAACGATTTTCAATATAAATTTTTATAAAAAATTTTAGATTTCAAGAAAAAATTCCATTGATTTAATTGAAAACAAATTAGGCTTTCGCCGATTGACGATGCAACGAAAAGGCTATTAGCTTCGGCCTAAAGTGGAACGAATGAATCGCCGATCGGACGTGGCCGATCGTCGATCGATCCTTTAAAGGGATCGAGAAGAAATACCGTACAGTGTCCACCTCTGAGAAACAGAACGGAAAAATAAAATGAGCGGAGGGGAAAAATCCTGAGAGAGAGACCATACAGGGATAACGATCTCTCTAACGGTCGCCGATAAATGATCACTGAGGATCTAACGGGTGATTTATGCTTCCGAATCGACCGGTCTTCGCTTTCGCGGAACGCTCGCGGCGGCAAATCGCGAATAAAGAAACGTACCCACGGTGAATTCTCGGATGCGGCAGGAACACGGAGGGGGTTTTTATTGCCGCCAGGTGGAAGGCGATATCGATAATCGCACGGCGAAGGACGACCTTTTTTTTCGTTCGCTATCAAATGTAGCGAAGCGTGAAAAGGCAGAGAGGGTCAAAAGGGGCTGGGGCGGTATGGGAAAATGACAAAAACTCACACAGACAGGTAGAAAAACCGGAGGAACGGGAACGTGTATTGGAGACCTTCGGAGGTTTCGTTTTATCTATTTATAGTACATTCGTTGCAACCGTTTCTATTACAGCGATCGGTTGGTTGTTGACAGATGATTGGGATCATTGATACTGAGATTACGTTGCCGTGTGAAAGTAAATATTCTTTCACGCGTTTTGAGATGATCACAGTCGAGTCATAGAAACACTCCTATATATGTATACATGGAAAGAACGGTTTTATTGAAAGTGTCAAAAATTGTGCTCTAAAAATATAATTTTGTTGGGCCGTCATAGTAATTTACATACAGCGTCTAACGTTTGCTATTTGATTGAAGCTCGCGGGAAAAATGCATTTACGAAAGACATAATCGCTCCGCGATCGTATAATGGCGATCGAATAAATGGAAGAAAGGATAAATTAATGGGATGGGGAAATGAAGATTCAGCTCGAATTTCATAGAAATTCCAGGCGCGAACTGTCACACGCCTCTGCAGTATATATATTATTAACGTGCGAATGTTAACCGCGCGCTTTTACTAAGCCGGTGAAATTGACAAGCGGAATTCATTAATTCAGCTAATGATGCCAATTGCCACGCGAACGAAATGCAAACGTAACGACCGTAGAAAGTCACATGAACTTTAGAAAATATATGACGAACAATGATATACGAATGCTCTCGAAAATTTTAGCTTAAAAAAAAAACAGACCTGAGATTTCTCGAAAAATTTATTTTGGAAATATCGAATTCCGGAACATCTTGCACCTGGAAAACAATAATTTTTGTTTGTTTGAGCGGATATTAATTACATTAACCATTGATATCAATAAATTTAAGATTGTCGATTAAGATTAATATTATAAAATAACATATTTTTATAAAATAAATATTAGACTGAATCGTTGCAAAATATTAATTGTTATAAATGATTTCTTAATATTTACGATTCTATATATTCGCGAAAATCGGGGTCGACAAACTCGAACAAAAACTCCAAACAAATCCGGTTCCTTTCGGGCCTACCGGGCTTCGTAACGGCGCGATTTAGCAAATCGACCGCGCAGGCGACAAATAGTTTTATGACAGAGTCGAGCGGACGCGAAGGAAGGACAATCTCGGGCTGTGACATCATCCGTAGGATCGGATCATCTTGGCTCACGACTTTAGTAATGACGCCTGTGTAATTGCGTAATCTACATGCCAGTTGGCATTTTGGGAAGGGAAGGCGATTGTTGTGATGATGGTTTACTCGAAGCATTTATTGAGAAAATAAATCATGTGGTGAAATGATGAATCACGAAAAAAAAATCACAATTCTGAAATATAAACTTAAGTAAGACGCTAAAAATATCCATTTTTCGCGTATTTCTTTTTTGTCCTGAAGAAGCTGTTTATGTTCTTCCCGAAATTGTAATGGATAATAATACGAAATTAGAATTGTACATTACAGAATTGTAATGCAAACGGACGGTGATTCATTTGGATTGGAAAAGAAAAACACACGGCTATCTTTAATTAAAGCGCGTAGGTGACGATCAGCGCGGAGCTTTGGCGATTAGGTAATTCGAACCGATCGTTCGAGGTGAGGATGTGACGATCTGCATATGTAATGCGGCTTGTCGAAGCTTTCGGTCGCGCTCGTAAAACGTCGCGTCCTCGGTCTAGATTTACTCGCTGTCTAGATCGGCGGAGACGCTAAACGTCGCTAAAGAAGAGTGCTAAAGCTCGAAAAGGAAAGTTCATTCTAAATTTCAAATGCTCAAATTTGCTTTCGTTCATTCATATTACGTATTCACGATCGCGAATTAAGTATCTTTCGTCTCTTGGAAAAGTGATAATATATACGTTTCAGATAACATAATTTTAAATCTTAAAATCTCAATAAAAAATCTGTGCTTAAAACGATAAAAGAAAAATTATGTTACGTCAATTTTATAATTCTGAAATAATATTTACCATTTTTCTTATTGTTCTAAGATTGTATTAAAATTTTTTTTTTTTCAGAATAAACAATTTTTTTCTTTTTTCGAATTGTACATGTACATCTTTTTTTTTATAATTCCCCTTTTGATTTTCTGTTTTACTTATTTTCTACTTACATATGTATAACGTCAGATGGTGAATCTGAAGAACGCCTTGGGCGCTGACGAGCTCACCAACAAGAAGGTCGGTCTCCCTCGCGCCCTTCTGGCGGAATTCCTCGGCACCTTATTCCTCAACTTCTTCGGCTGCGGTGCCGTGCTGACTGAAAATGTCGTCGCCATCAGCCTGGCCTTCGGTTTGGTGGTGGCTGGCGTAATTCAGGGGATAGGACACATTTCCGGAGGTCACATCAATCCGGCGGTCACGCTCGGTCTCACCGTCATCGGGAAGGTATAGCGACATTTGATATTAATATTCAATAGAAATTTTAATATTTTTAACTTGGCTCTCTAAGAAGTTTTTCTAAACGCTTGTGTTTTGTCTAAAATTAAAAAAAAATCTCTGTAATAACTCTAAAACGCTGTCAATCTGATATATATATATAAGTACACATATCATATGTGTAAACCGAGAATCGTCTATTTATTCCGCAAATGAAATCTATCCCAGACGAACCAGAAGAATTCGATATCCCGCAATGAAAATCGATCATCTTCTACAAGAGCTAGATCTATTTAGATGGATCAAAACAGATCCTCTAATAATCCTAGCAATAAAAACTCGAGTACTACTGAATTAATTGCATACATAATTTCGCAGGGATGGGAAGTAATTCGTTATTACTTCTAAACATAAGTTAGAAAGTTACTTTTTTTTAGTAATTGTACCTTTACTTCATTACTTTTTCCATTTATATAACCGTAACTTAGTTACATTTTTTGAAACTATAGTAACTAATTTAATAGTTATTTATATTTCAAACTTATTTGTTAATATTAGGCTACGGTCCACTTGATGTTATACAAATGATGTTAAACATTAAAGCTTTTGTTTAAACGTAACCCAATTTTTTTTCTCAGCTGATCTTAATGTTATCTATGTTGTTCTATTCTGATAATAGAAAAGTGACGACTTCTTATTTTTTTGAGTAACGGTAACATATTATTTTTTAAAATCGATAACTTGTAACTAATTACTTTTACAAAGTAAGTTAGCTTTCCCTATCCTGCATAATTTATCCGACTGTTTAGGTTTGTTTCTATTCTTGCCTAAGTTCTCCTCATCGGTAACAAGATCCTGATTCGTAGGTACCAATTATCAGGAGTATTTTGTACGTCGTGGCGCAATGCGCGGGTGCTATCGCGGGTTCGGCGATTCTGAGGGCCCTTTCAGCCGAGTCTCCCATTTCACGGCATCCGGTCGAAACCGTATTGGGCGCGGTGAAGCTTTCCGAACAGATTACTCCAGTACAAGGATTCGGCGTGGAGTTCTTCCTCGCGTTGATCTTGGTGCTGGTAGTTTGCGGGGCGTGCGATGCCGCTAAACCGGACAGCAAGGGCATCGCGCCCCTCATAATCGGCCTGACAGTCACCGTCGGTCATCTCGTCGGAGTAAGTACTATGATTTTAATCACAAAAACAGTTCCTCCTTATTTCAAATCAAATTTTTTTTACGTTAATTTTAAACAAATCTGACATACATTTGTTTGAAGATAATTCGTTTCTTGTGAACAGTTACCGAGTTACTTTTTTTCAGTAACTGTAACTTTACTTCGTTCCTTTTTTCCATTTATAACTTAATTACTTTTTTTTTTAAACTAACAACACTAAGAATAAATTACAATTTTAATTCAATCATTCTAATGTAGAATTTATTTAAAAAATTTAAACTTTGTTTCGGAATTAATACACTATTTCTGTAATTGAGCTTAAAAAGGCCTTAAAAAGTAATAAAAAATTAACTCTTAAATTTTTTATTACTTTTTAAGGTCTTTTTAAGCTCAATTACAGAACAATTACAGAAGCTCAATTATTTTTCATAATTATTTCATGTCTTTGTAATAATTTTTAATGAAATTAGATACCGCGGACGGGTGCGGGGATGAATCCGGCGCGTTCGCTGGGCAGCGCCGTGGTGATGAGCTCTTTCGATAATCACTGGGTGTACTGGGTGGGCCCGATCATGGGCGGTATCGCCGGTGCACTCATCTATGTGCATGCTATCGGACCCGCCAAGCAACCGGAAGCGCCCGCCAGGACTTACAACTCCGTCGCCACCGAGGAAAAGGAGGTATATTATACCACAAGATTATGAGATTACTTTCAGACACGAATAAAAAATATTCAGCGTTGCCATAATCTATTTTTAATTTTCTATAAATTTAATAATTTTTGAAAAATCTTTTAATTTTCAAAACATTGGTTAATTTGTCATAAATTTTCCAATTTTCTTAATTTTATTCATGAAAAAGTTCTTCGATCATTTTTGACAATTTCTTTAATTTTTGATAAGTTATTTATTAATAAGTATATTCAGTCAAATATTTAAAATTTTTCAATAAATAAATCAAGTATTGACTAGATTAAATAGCAAGCTTTTCGAATTGCCAGTGTCTGAAGGTGGTTTGAAAATAAGTTTTTAGATACAATGTAAGTCTGGCATCTTCTTATAAATTAACAAGCATTTAATTCGCATAAAAACCGCTGCACTGAAATACACGCATTTAACTTTCCACTTATAGATAATATTTGCTAGAATTCCAGTATTTTTTTCCTTGATAATTGACTTTTGTTTTGGGAGTACGAATACTGAGCCAATCCTTACAAGGCAGAATATTTAATTAAGAATAAAATTCATGTATGTTCTCATAATGCATGATAATAAAGATAGAATGCATTCTTATTCTTCAAAAAAAATAGAATATCTTTTTAGAGATCATTTTTCTACAAAGCTCCAGCATTAAAATAAAGTCAAAAAAGAAAAACAATCGTCTAGAAATTTTTAAGAAACGATGAAACGCAAGAGATAGACTTGCTTTAAGTGAATTTTTGTAATTATATTCTGAACTTTTTTCTTCTTTACAAAGTCTCGCAACTATTTCGCACTGTGAAAATCTGCGTGCACCATTTCTCCCAAGATAAGACTTCCGCTCTAAGTCCACGATCGTCTCTGCCCCACAGAGGTTCGAGTACATTGACAGCGGACGTGGCGGACTTTAAGATACGAAGATGCCCAGACGTACAAGAGCGATCTAGCGATTCGCCCGAATAGAATAAGACTTCCGCGATAAAAAAAAATAACGAAAAGGGAACAGCAAACATGAAAACGTCCTTGTTTTACAGCTCCAGAATCTTACCAGCAGGAAAACCGTCAGCCCCGCTTGACGCTCTTAACCGACTCTAACCGTCTTCTTCTGCCAACTCGCCAATCATCTTGTATCGACAATGTCATAAGAACTATCGGACAGCTTTTTCTTATGTAAAAACCGCGCGTGTATTTCAATACTGAGTTAATTTACATGCTTTCTGACGAAGTGGTCTTAGGAAAAAAACACGGTCGTAATGACGACGTCGATTTTTATTGACCGTTGAGAATGTAGGACGTTCTAGGGGTGAAATATTCGCATTACAGTTAGCTTCAAGATGAACAAATTCTTTCATAATCATATATGTACAACTACATTTTTAAAAGTGCAACAAAAGTATTAACGCAACTTAAAAATGCCTTTGATGCCAAATAAAAATCGAAAAATCATAAAAAGAATTAAATATAGCTAAATGAATTAAATTGAAAAATGGAGAGTCTTAAGATTCTTACGAAAATTCCGGACTTTAAAAAAATATTGGGGCTTTGAGAGCCTCTCTTTTTCTTCTCTCTATAATTTCGTACCAATTCTTAATTATTTTTCATTGTACAAATTGAACTTTGAAAAATTTGATTACACGATACGTTTTGATACAGATTGTCCTGTAATCGTGAAAGATAAGAATGTAAAAGATAGCCAGAGACCTTTCGTCACGAAATATTTTACTTGCCGATATCTCACGCCACATTGGATGGCACATAAAACCATTTATTGCAAAGATTGCATTTTGATAACGTCGTTGATTAAACGATGATTGACCCAACACACTCGGTTAAATTTTTCCACACTTCAATCCAATAATACTTGAAAAATCACGCAATTTGCTTAAATATGTGAAAATAATATTTAATTTGGGCATTTGACAATATTACGTAATTGTACTTCAGCAAATGTATGTGTTAGCTAATACAATTCAAAATTTTCAAATGCTTCTATAATTTTTTATTCTTAAACATATGTTATTATTCTTTTGTATGCGTATATTTGAAAAAAATCTTTGTTTTAATGTAACCATTAATAATTTCTTATCTTTATTTAATTACTAATTATGATTAATCGCGTGATGTTGCGAAACATTTTTAAGATTAAAAATTTACTCACCATTAATTTTATTTTCTATTATTTTCTCATAAATCATCGTTTTTTTCATTTGTTTAATTATTTGTATGTTGCATTAATTTACACACTTGTGTGACTTTTCGATTATTTTGCATTTATTAAACGCAAATGCATATGTTCATAATTATTCCATGTAAGTTAACACACGAGTGATCATGTCTCGATTAATTTTTTACTCTATCACGTCGTAGATTCTCTCTAAACATTTCGACATATTCACACGCACGGAAGCTCATTTAAAAAATTTGTAAAATGTTTGATTAAAAGTCACTAATCTCTCGAAAGTTGTGTCGCAAAAACGCGATTCATAATCAATGACTTTTAATTCATCGTATATGTATATTTCATACTGACAAGAAAAACATGCATTTTTTTTCGTAAATAAAAATACTGCGTAATACAATATTTATATGTATATTAATAATGACCATTAGAGAATGCATATATATTACTATTATAAATGTGAGCGTTATATGTTGTAATGTGTTCTACGGAATAAAATACCTAAGTTTTTATACAAATCTTTCCGATTATTAATTATCCTCTCGCTAAATAATAAAATACCGTAGTCACTATTGTATATCTGTAATACTTATAACTATTAGATAATTATGTATTAAAATAATTCTTACCTTTCTTTCTCCCTTTAGAAACTATCTGTTTGGTTATTTGTTCTTTGGAAGAGGATGGGACGGAGAAAAAAAAGGCACAATAAATATCGCGGTGGGCTTTCTACACTTACACACTTTTGTATTTCATATATAGTTCCAAGTGTCTTGCAGAATATCGGATAACCTACGTGTTACCGTTTCAACTACCGTTTAACGAAATAATTCTGAATATGATATTACTGTAAATATATCTGTAATTCATTATCTCTTATGTTCCCAACGTTATAATGTAAATGTGTTGACTTGCAGAATCAGAGTCCGTTGCACCAATAAGAAAACGCAAAAAAAAAGAGAAAAAAAAACAGATCGCATATTGTAAAGTCTGTAATTATTTTAAATGTAGAAGCAGAAAAACGGAATAATTTTAATCGTAAATAAACCGATCGCCTTCAATACAGCGACTCGCGTTAATTTCAATTAACGTTAAAAAAATCGGTTAGACTTTCAAAGACTAATTTTTCACTCTTTTGCTGTTATTTCGAACACAATAGCGAAACTATAATCTAAAATAGTCGAATTATTCTAACCTCTTCAGATATTAGATATCGACATCTCAATTACATTGTATTAAAATCAATTGTATCATAATTAAATATAGGAAAAGCGACTTAATTGATCGAAGGGAGGCGTTCCGGGCGAATGACAACCGGTCGATGCAACTGGCCCTGGCTACGTACTAATCCTTAAACGCTAACAAAAAAAGAAGACGAATCCGATGACTGTACGATCAAGGGATCGGATAATTTTTTTTTCTTTCTTTCCCTTTGTTTGGTTAACGAAAGCGAACGTGAATGCGAATGAAGGAAACCGCTAGGAGGCACGGTATGTACATATTTCTCACAGTTGCGATACAGTTCGCAAGTCGGGGCCAATAAAATTGAACCATCCGGTGGCTGACCATTATATTTACAATTGTCCTCTCATTGCGAATGTACCGAGAGCAATAATATTCGAAATGACGGCGGACAAATAGGATCGAAGCTCCTTCCGGAAGTTCAGAAGGTGCGCTTCACTTCGAGAACAGCGTGAATCAAATTTTGCGATATCAAGGTAGGTCAGATAAGATACCGGTAAGATCAATAAGATACGTTGTCCAAATGTTGCAACTCTCTTTCCGAGTTTTACTTCTAGGAAAAGAAATAAAAATAAAAATAATTGTATAGCTACGAAAATAAAATGAGAGCTTACGAAATGTACACAATAGGTATACCAACGCCTAAATAATGTTAAATAATTAAAATAATTTTTTAACCTTTTGTCATATTCGCACGATAAATCGACTCTCTCGTTCGAATCGTTTTTACCTCCGTGAAATCTATATCATCTTCGGACAGAAAGAAAAGTGAAAGACACGCGAGAGAAATTTCGACGTGATCTTATTCAGATGGGCGCGAATCAGCGAGCTGCGATATCATTGAAGCAACTTAATTATAAAGAAAAAGTGCTAAATGAAAGAAATGCAACCATATTCTTCCATAACAGCGTCCTCACACGATCGATTCGGTTTTAATATCGGTACACCTTATATCGAGGTGTATTTTGTTGCTGTCAATTTAACTCGCCGAGATTCTGGTCGAGATTCTTGCGCAATTGGAAATTAGCATTGCTATTCTGAATATTGATAGTATTGTTAAAGTTAAATCACATTAGGATAAGAGAGAAATTAGAATCTCATTCAGTTTTTAGGAAAACAGGTTGATAATCAATTCTCATAATCGCATGAAAATACAAAATAATTGAAAAGATTTTGTCTTTTGTAATTGACTAAAGTAAATTACAAAAGACAAAATCATGAAATGAAATTCTTAGATACCTTTTGTAAAGTTATATCAATATTTTAATATATTATAAAGTATATTTAATTTATATATGTATGTATAATATATAATGTTAGATATTATATAATTAATACATAAATATACACATAATATATATTAATTATATATATTATATATATTATATCATACCCTTTGTAATTATAATAATAATAATTTAATTTTAATACATATAACTAAAAAATTTTATGGTGTTTTAATTATTATATATACTATTATATGTATAAAATATAATAAGTATATTATACATACAATAATAGTATATATACATAATTTTCAAATAAATAAAAGCTCGAATTAAATTGAATTAAACTCGATCTTTTTATTCCTTAATAGTGGCACGTTAACTAATCAATTAAAAACCATTTGCTATGCGGAATGTGATCATGTATAGTATATGGACTTTTTTCTGTAGACAATTGGGAGTACATTACATAAATGAGAGGCTTTTTCAGGCATCTAAATAGGGAAGAGACAAAGAGCAATTCGATTCAAGAGAAAAGAAGAAACGGAACAAGTCGGTGAAGAAAGAGGAGAATCCTGCCTTCTGCAGGTAAAGTGTTGAAATGTGATTTCGGGCTTTATTCTTATTAAATAAATATCAAACTCATTTTACATGCACGATCAATCAATGTTAATGATGCAATTTTTTATGTTTGCTCTATAATTGCAACGTTGTATCACTTTGTTTTAATTCAATCTTAATAGACGATCTCGATTGTATCATAATACGTTCAGTGCCGGAACATTAATGTTGACGTTAAACTGAACAGCTGATTAATTTCAATACTATCAAGTATGTAAATTAATTACCAACCATGCGAGAGATCTCGGGAATCTTACAGCGAATTCGAGAACATGATTTTTACTCGATACAGCACCTCAACCGGGACAAAAAGAAAAAAACAAACCTCCTTCAACCTTCCATCTGCGAGAGCTTGTCCTCCAGACTGTCCTGGCTATCGTTAGTATCGTTCAAATTAATAGTGCTGTTGCCCTGCGACAACTCGATGACGGAGTCGCTCAGATTGCCGCCCGTCGATTTCCGCACCTCCAGAATGTCGTCCGACGTCTCGAAGATCGAGGCGGTCTCGGAGAGGTCCTGATTGTCCAGCGCGATAGCGCTCGGATCCGGCTGAACCTCCTCCTGTATCACCTGCGAAGCCTCCTCTATCTCGGCGTCCAACTTGAGCTCCGTCTCTTGTTCGACCTCAACCTCCATCTCCGCCTCCTCTTTAACGGTCGGCTCGTTCATTGCGCCGTCCTGATCCACCTGCTCGTCGACCTCCATCGCCGAGTCTGTCTTTTGCTTCGCGTCTGACGGCGCCGCGATGCCAGAAATTTGCGTGAGATTGCTCAGAACCGTTTCCTGCATCTTCACTACGGTGTCAGTAGTCTCGAAAATGCTGCACAATTCGCGATTCATCTCCTCCACCTCCGACGTGTCGCTAGGCTTCACGATCATGTAACGCTTGTTCGAATAAACCTTGTTGCTGGAGATCGTCGGGCCCTTCTTCGACGGGGAACCACTTGGCGTGGTACTGCTACCGCTCACCGTCGTTTTCGCCGTGCTCTGGATTTCTTTCTGAACATCCTCCAGCGTCTCCTCCGCGACGGGATCCTCCTCTTGCTTCACCACTACTTGCTCCGTCTCCTCTTTCTCTACTTGAGTCGGATCGCTCTTTGTCGCGTCCGCGTCGTCATTGTACTCCCGCTCCTCGTCGTATATACTCTGTTTCCGTTTCACGAACACTCTCTTGAGCGGTAGCTGCTGCTCATCCTCGGACTCGTCATGTCGCTCCGGCAGCATCTCGTCAATCGCTTCGTAGTCCTGCTGCGCTTTTCGCGCCTGCAGCTCCTCGATCTTCAGCCTCTGCTGTTCCACTCGCTTCTCCAACTGCTCCAGCTTCACCTTGGTCTCCTGGTCCTGGCCCTGGGCGATCAACTGCGTCTTTTGCGGAGCGGCCGAGCTCTTCGGCGTGTCGCCGCTGGACGACGCTGAAGTCTTCAGCTCGAATTTCTCATTCAAAACGGCATCCCCGGTTTTCTGACGTTGCTCCGCGGACTGCAACACCGCCTGTACCAGGTTCTGACCACTCTTGTCGAGCGGTCGCTTCACTATTACTCGCTTCACAACGTTGCCAGTCGGCAGTTTCGCCAGCTCCGCGGGGTCTATCGCGGTACCATCCGGATTCATGATAACTTCACGAGTAGTGTCACCCTGACGGATAATTCTACGAACAATCACTCGCTTGACTTTATGCGAGCCGGGAGTGCCGCTCAGGGAGGCGTCTGCGTCCTTGACTGCAACGGGTGTACCGACTGGTGTTCCTTCATTACTGCCTCCTCCCGGTTTTCTCAGTACAATTCTTTTAATCACTTTGACGGTGTTGACCTTTGGAGTGGACGCCGGGGTCTCCGCTTTGTCGCCGTCCTTGCGAACTTCCTGAGAAGCGCTTTGGGATCTCGTCACAGGTGCTTCTTTAGACTGATCTTGGCCGGCGTTCTGGTGCTTCAGCGGGATCTTGTGTTCCTTGAACACCGAGGCGACAATCTTCTGTACCTGCGCCTCGGTGTCGTCCACGCGGCTGCTCTTGGGGCTGCTCTCCTCCTTCTGCGTGGAGACTTTCGAGCTGCTCTGAGAAGAGGAGCCAGCCGAAGTGACTTGTTTCGTGACTTTCTGCTCTTGAACATCGCGACGCTGGATGGGCATTAACGTCTTAATGGTCTTCTTCATCATGTTGCCATCTTTGCCGCGCACGTACACCACCTTGCGCTCCTCCTTTTCTTGCCTCTCGGCTTTTTCTTCCTTGTCCTCCCCATCGTCCTCCTCCTCCTCCTCATCACTCTCCGAGGGCTTCGGCGGCTTCGGTAACTTCTTCACAATGTACGCCGGCGGCTCGTAATCGTCATCCCCATCGGAATACTGATCTTCCTCTTCCTCATCCTCATCAGAGTCCAGTTCTACATTCTTCTTGGTGTCGGGTTGCAAACCGTCCGGGCCCATTTTCTCGCCCGCCTCAATATGCTGTTTAATATGGGTGACATAATCGGCGCGATTACGGCAGGATTCCTGGCAGACATCGCAGGTAAGGCCCATTCCTGTGCGCTTCGTGTGCGTCAATTGGTGCACCTCCAGGCTCTCCTTGCGTTTGAACGCCTTGCCGCAGTCCTCGCACACGTGGCGCTTCTCCACTGAATGGGTGCGCATGTGTCTGGTCAAGTGATGCGACAGCAGGAACGTGCGTGGACACAATTTACACATGTACGGACGATGGCCGGCATGAGTAGAGAGATGCCGGGCTAGCTTTGTGCTGGTGTGGAAGGCCTCCTTACAGTAATCGCACACAAACGTCTTGTCCTCGTTGTGCAGCATCTCGTGCCGTTCCAGGCCCTGCTTGTATTGGAAGCGCTTGTTGCAGATGTTGCACTGGAACGGCTTCTCCTTCTTGTGAGCCGAATCCTCGTGCTTCTCGAGCTCCTCGGTGGTGAAGAACTCGCGGTCGCAATGCTGACAAGCGTAACGCGTCTCATCTCTGTGTACCTTCTCGTGACGTTGCAGCAGGTTCAATCGCGAGAATTGCTTCTGGCAGATCGAGCACGAGTACGGCTTCTCATCCGAATGTGTGCTCATGTGCTTGCTCAGGTCGTACTTGGTGAAGAAGTGTCGCTCGCACTCGGTGCACTTGTAATTGCGATCGCGATGGGCGCGCTGCACGTGCAACATCAGAGCTTGACGCAGGGGAAATGTGCGATCGCATTGATCGCACGCGTGCACTCTGATCTCTCCCGGCTCCAGTTTCCTCTCCTCCTTGATGTTAGTCACTTCCTGTTCGCCCTCGCTGCCGCCATCCTGTTCCTCTTCGTAAAGATGCTCGTTGGCCTTCTGTTTGTCATTTTGTCTGGTCTCACGTCTCTCTCTAGAGTCTCTGCTGTCGTTGTCAGAGGTGCGTTGCTTTTTCGAGATCTCATTCTGCGATCTCGCCTCGGCCGGTCTCTTGCTCCCGATTTCCGGCGGATCGCTGGGGATAGGCGGGAAGGGCCTCGGCAATACTCCAGACAGCGGATAGTCCCTCAACGCCTCGTCGGCCTTCTTGCACTGCAACTTGAATTTGTACGAGCGATCCAGGTTCCAGCGGCACATGTTGCATATCATCTGCGGCATCCCGTCCGCGGCGTACACCTGTCAAAGAACAAGACACGGCGGATTGTTAGTAACCTGCTTACCTTAGGGATCCGGAAAGGAATCTCTTCGGCGTTGGACGGTTCAGGAGTTGCAGGAAAGGTTTCATTGGATTTGTTAAATTCCAATTGTTGTTTAATTCTTGTCTTTGCAAAGTTTATAAAAATTCAAAGTTACATATACTTGTATAAATTTGATAAATTATAATTTATGTTAAATATAAATACATATTAAAAAATAATATACAAATATATTTGATACGTATATATAATTTATATGTAAAATTATGTATAAATAATATGTTAATAAATGTACATTTGTATTGAACAATTTTCTGTATCAATGTAATTTAATAGAAAGGTACAAGAAATAATATAAAAAACATATATGTATACTATAACTAAATGAAATTAATAAAATATGCAAGAATGAAACAATAAAATATAAATATCATTTTCTTATATAATCTTCAAAGGATAAAATATCTTTTCATTAAATAAAAAACATTTTTCATTTAGATCTGTATAATTGTTTTGTAAAAACAGTTATGTTTAAATAGAATTATATAAACTTATATTTAAATAGAATTTGATATACACATATAATATATAGTGTAATAAAATTTTAAAATTTAAGCCGTTTGTTTATTAGAGACTACTAGAGTAAACATCATCGGCTGCCTTCATTTAGTGACACAAGTCGACACAAACATCATTCTGTCTTTTTTTAACATTCAATCACAACAGAGACAGAATGATGACAACAAAGATAAAATGATGTTTGTGTCGACTTGTATGATTCGTGCACGAGCCACGGACTGAGGTGGACGTCTGTGGCCGAGAGTGATTCTATGTTCTTCGCGGAATCGCGGAATTCGCGGAGAATCTTCGCGGCAATTTAGTATTTCTTTACTTCCGCATTACTATTTATTCATTACGTATTAATATTGCATCATTCGACTATTAGAATCAGGGCATATTAACGATCCCCCCCCCCCGTATACGGGGGGGTTCCCATAAGAAAAGAAGAAGTGTCGACTTGTATCGTTGAATGAAAAGCACCCATCGTCGCGTTCAAAGGTATTCCGACTCCGGAGTGTTCCGGAACTTCCGGAGTGAGAAGTTCCGGAAGAGAAAGAAATCAGGCGGGAAACGCGAGTCGCGCGAACGTCCTCTCCCCGCGATCGCCGGAACCGCGAGGGCGGATCGGCCGGCAATATCGCCGCCTATACTACCGCGCGATCGTACACCAATTCGCTTGACGACACCGGACAAAAGCACCCCTCGCGGGGCAGCTCGCCCCAGCCCTTAACGCTCGGCGCTACCTAAATGAAACCCACCGATCAGCGGGGAGAGGGAGGGGGGGGACGGTGGTGCGGATCACGGCGCGAGTGTTACCCGCGAGGGGCACTCGGCCGCGGTGCCGGGTGGCGCGCACACACAGGCTCCGGCGGTCGATGCCGTCGACGGGTATGTCGCGGTTATTAACGGCGGGGGGGGCCACTCACCTCGATGGCGACGCAGGACATGATCTGTAACGCGAGCGGCACCTGGAACGGCTTGTTGTGGTCGCGCTCGTAGATGTAGCTCAGCGGCTCGGTGTCCGTCAAGCAGAATCGGCAGACGCGCCGCGAGCGCAGCGGCGCCGGTCTACTCTCCATGTCTGCCGGCGCGTCTCTTCTCGCCTCCTTCGCCTATCTTCTTCTTCTTCACCTCCTCCTCCGTCACCGCCGCCGCCGCCTCCTCGTTCGGTTCTCCGCGGTAGCGTGCGTTCCGATCAGCTCCTCGCGCGCCCACCGACGATGGCTCGTCGTCCCGCTCGCTCGGCCGCGCGGCGCGCCAAGGCGATCGGCAATCGCGCGATTAACTACTCCAACGGAGTAAAGTCCGGTCGTCCCCCCCCCCCCTGAAGCAGCACCGGAGATTCCGACCGTACGAAATTCGCGAACAACTCGCGCGGCTGCCACACACTCTATACTTCCAACTTCACTCGTTTAGTTGCTCGCTGAGCTCGCTCGCCCGCTCGCTCGCTTTCGACTCGCTCGCTCACTCGCTCAACGACGCCGAGCGTCGGTAAGCGTCGCGTACGTCGCCTCTCTCACCGGAGAACACCCGCCAACGGCGCTTTATAATGGCGGAAGAACGCGGAACAGGCTGGCCAAAGCCGCGCGCGTCCGCCTCGTAGCTGCGTAGAGAAGACGCCGTCGTCTTTGCACAGTGGCGCCCGAATGAACGTGATCGCTTGGACACGTGGCGCGTCGATGAGCCCGCCCGACCGACAAAGCGGGGAACGCGTTTGCCGTAGATTGGCACCCGGCGACCGACCGGAGCGATTTGAGTGGGACCCTTCGCCGAGAGATGGCGCGTCTATTCTCGTTGGGGGCTAAAAAGAAAATCTAGGCTTACATCGCGCTAATTACGCGTTCCTCTTTGAGCTCCTTCATTACCCGAGAAAAAAAGTTCCATGTATAATTATATATAATTATATGCGAAATATGTCCATATATGTTTCTTTCCTTTGTAAAATTATTCTTTAATACAAAATTGATAATAATAAGGAAACATAAAAAAAAATTAAAAGAATAATTGTTACATAATTGTTTTTTTTTACAAAAAATCAAGTTTGAAGAAATAAGAAAAATTGTTCATATATAATTATATATGTATATTTTTAATCACTTATATATGATTATATGATATATATGAGCAATTTTTCACATTTCTTCAAACTTTATTTTTTGTAAAAGAAACCAATGTAAAAATTATTCTTTTAATTATTTTTTATATTTCCTTCTTATTATTTTGTATTAAAGAATAATTTTACAAAGGAAAGAAACATATATGGACATATTTTGTATACAATTATATATAATTATATATAATTATATATGGAACTTTTTTTCTCGGGTATCCTACTTGCATCTTTTTGCATATAGATAAAATAACATATATATACTCGAGCACATTAAGAAATATTTTTCCCTTTAGAAAAGAAGGGAAAAAAAATATTAAAAAAGTACTAATTGAAACTATCCTATTAAAAAAAAAATCGATTGAAAACAATGGGAACCAATAAGATCTGCCAAATATTTTATAGTGTCCTATCGTATCTATCGTTCCACTTTTTCTATTCCGCAAGAAATGTTATCGTTTCCTATCGTTTTCAATCATTATCTGATAAAGGCGATTTTAATCGTTGAAATATCAATAGAATTTTTATAATAACTTACTGTTTTTTATACCGTTTTGATGAAATTTATCATGAATAAATTATTAAAACGTTATCATAATAAATTGTTTATTCATGATAAATTTCTTCATAACTACAATTAAAAATGATTATATAAGTAGTTTTTTATCGTTTTCTATCGATTTTTTTTAACAGGGTAATGTATTTCTGGATCATCCATAATAAAAAAAATATATAATTAATTGTAAAAGCAGCAAAAATTGCAAAAAAACAGAATTCTTCAAAAATTCTATGTTAAATACTATTTTTATAAACAAAAATTTAAGCGTATAATGTGTAAAAATTTATGCAGAAGACATCTGTTATAAGTGCTATAACAATAATATGTTATTCATAAATAAAATCAAGTTTTTATTATGTCCCACTTATCTAATTTTGTACATTAAATTTTAAATACTAAGAAATATGATGCCTGCATTGGATAAAATTGTAGATTGCTGAAAAAAATTATAAAAAGGAAAAATGTAGAAATGACGTAACGGAAAAGAAATCGATTATCAAGATCAAACTTTTGCTATAACGATTTAACTTCACACATGTGTCTGTATTTTATGACACGTTTTTTAAAGAAAGATGCACATTTTTTTAATTTTGACGATATACATGTTTTAAATTTTGAAAATGTCACTTTTTTTCTAAGTAATTTTATTCGCGTATGGTGAAAAATGTGGCGATTCTTTCATAAAACGCAACAGCAGCGCAATCGCGATCTGGACGCTCTTCGTCGGGATATCGACACGGACGTGCACATTAAATCGGCGGGGGATTTATTGCAAAATTTACAGGTGGATCATAAACGGGGCTTATCTACGATCGTTGCGAAAAATCGCCTACGAGATCAAGGACCAAACGCACTGACTCCACCGAAGAGGACCTTGAAGATTCAAAAGATCTTGCAGCGATGCTGCGGAGGATTTTCCTTGCTAATATGGGTAGCAATTTTCGAAGAATTTGAATTCTTTCTTATTACGAACATTCCTCCTTGAAAACAATCTTATATTAAAGTGAACAAAGAGAAAAAATACATGTGTCATTTCTCTAACAATTTCTTTCATGAGTTTAGAGTCGCAAGAATATATTTTTACTTAAATTTTATAGATAATCGTTTACTTATTCTTTTAACATTTTTTGCAATTTTATGTTTTAAATATGTAATAATATAATATGAAATCCAACAAAGTTTATAATATGAGATGAGATAAGAGTTTCAAATTTTGAATTTTTTGTATCAGCATTTAATTATTTATTATTTCTAAAATCGTATTAATTTTATGAGCTAATATTTATATTTAATTGGTTAAAGATTTATAATATTATATTTATATTATCATGTGTATATTAAATTGTCACAATTGCGTATCCCTATTAAAAAAAAAATCGATAGAAAACGGTGAGAACCGATAGGATCTGTCAAATATTTTATAGTGCCCTATCGTATCTATCATTCCACTTTTCCAAAAGAAATGTTGTCGTTTTCTATCATCATCTAATAAAAGCGATTTTAATCATTGAAATATCAACAGAATTTCTATAATAATTTATTGTTTTATACCGTTTTAATGAAATTTATCATGAATAAATGATTAAAATATTATCATAATAAATTTATTCATAATAATTTTTTTACGGTTCATAACTACGATTAAAAACGATTATATAGTTTTCTATCGATTTTTTTAACAGGGATGTTTTTCAATGTGAAAATTAACGAAATTAATAATAAAAAGTAGGGAATTATCTACTGATAATTATCGTGGATATATTATATAGAAAAAGAGTTTTCTATAAGAAAAGCCTTTGAGAGAAGTCCATCGAAGAGTATTCAATTTCCAGATTGGTGCCATTTTGTGCTTCGGTAACTACTTTTTGGAGTTGAATACCTACGGTGAGGCTTCCGAGGATCACCTCTGGCTCGGTGTGGTCCTGATTGCGCTGATCATGATCACCGGCGTGTTCAGTTATTATCAAGACTCCAAGAGCTCGCGTATCATGGAATCGTTCCAGCAGATGATACCGCAACGCGCCAAGGTTCTGCGGGACGGCGAGAGAAAGGAGTTGCTGGCGATCGAGCTGGTGGTCGGGGACATCGTCCTGCTGGAGACCGGCGACCGGGTGCCCGCTGACATTAGAATCCTGGAATGTCAAGGTGAAGTGTGTCCTGCCACCGTATCACGCGTGGACTTCTTGTTTTCCTTATATAGATGGAAAAAAACAAGCCTTTCTCCTCGCGCGAACTCGCGCTCACAGAGCCAACTCGCGACGATTTCTCGCTTTGTTCAAGTCTTTCATTGAAAGAAAGTCCAGAGAGGTATTATTTGCGAAAAATATAAACCCGAGATTGCACGTCACCGAGAAGAAACACAAAACTGGAAATACATGCAAAAACATAAGTTTTCTAACTCTTCATCGCAAACAATTTACTTTTTTTCTTTTTTTTTCTGTTAGATGATTAAATTAATATTAGAAATTAAATGATCATTTTTCAATAGCGTTAATTAAATTTAATTTATATTTAACAAAATCTCTTATAAAAATATAATAAAAATTATAAATTTAATAGTTTGTAGAAATTTATTCTTTTTATTTTAACGAAGGTTTGAAGGTCGATAATGCGCCGATTACGGGCGAATCGATACCACTGATACGAACGGCTAATATTCCGCAAACCGGAAATGTTATTCAAGCGAAGAACATGGTATTCTTTTCTACGAACGTTGTCGAAGGTACGCACTATGTTCAATTAAAGGAACATAAAAATATTCTATAATATAATCTGAGAAATTTGTTTCTCATGCTATTTCTCATGAGCACACGAAACATACGAATTATAATTTATAAGTTTTAATTTCTAATAACGTTTAAAAAGTATTATCTTTAATATTTTATTTTCTCATTTTAAAAAGCATATTAAATGAGTTCTAAATTCCGATTTGGTGAGTTCTATTCCGCTGATAGAAACTTACTGCCAAAAAGATCAAAATAGTAATCAACACATTATATTGCCATGCTACAAAAACATCGTAGTTATTTTTAGGCAGCAATATAAATTCTTAGGTAGCGGAAGAGGCGTCGTTGTGGCCTGTGGCGATAACACGGTGATGGGTAGAGTGGCCAAACTAACGTCGAGATTGCCGACCCGACCTACGCCTCTCTCCAGGGAGATACATCGCTTCATGAAACTCGTCTCGTGCTGGGCCATCTTTCTGGGTGTCTCGTTCTTCGTCATGTCCATAGTGATGGGCTACGGCTGGATCGACTCGGTAGTGTTTCTGATTGGCATCATCGTGGCGAACGTGCCGGAGGGTATTATCGCCACGATGACGGTCAGCCTGACCTTGACCGCCAAGAGGATGGCCAACAAGAATTGCCTAGTGAAGAATCTCGAGGCCGTCGAGACTCTGGGATGCACCGCCGTTATCTGCAGCGACAAGACCGGCACCCTCACGCAAAATAAGATGACCGTACGATCCCCATTTCCCCTCTTGCGAAATTCCGTTGCAAAAGCACAGTGTATCTATATATAGGTTTGCTCATTTTTGTTTGCACCTTCTCGCATTTCTTTGCAAACATACAACTCTAACATTTTAAATACATTTATTCATAATTGTAATTTTATTTTTAATTTCAATGTAATCATAAATTAGCTATTATTCTATAATTTTATGTTATACTTATTTTTATACGTCATATTTTACTTTTTATAACGATTATATATTTCATATATCTTTTTATTAACCCTATACGTGCGTGTTATTTAGTCTTCAGTATAGTTTTTTTGCAACATTTTGCAATGAGTAAGAATTGCGTAGCGCAACCTTTTATGTAAACGACGCTTCTTTCGCCTCGCACAATCAATCTGTTAATGTTCTCACTTTGAATGTACAATCGAGTTCTTGCCATCGCAATTGTGCAACTTCAGGTGCGACATGTGTGGTACGACGGTCAGCTGCGCGAGGTGTTGGCGTCGGACACGTGGCGGAAATATGCCAACAATCGAGGTTTCGAAAATCTGGCCAGAGTAGCGAGTCTCTGCAATCGCGCCGAGTGGGTACCGATGCCCGAGGACAAGCCTCTGCTACCTTTACATAAAAGACAGATCCTGGGAGATGCCTCGGATGCGGCTTTACTGAGATGTATGGAGGTCCTCGTGAAGGGAGGAGCTGATTTCTTCAGGAAGGACTATATCAAGGTGAATGAGCCTGATCAAGTCTTTTGATTGAAAAATTGAAGAAAATTGATATTTATTCATATTATTTTATATTAATGCCAATTGTAAATTTAATTAACTGAAAAGTATTCCTTCCAATTTTATACCTAATTCAATGTATTATATCAATTTCGAATTTCTGATCTTTTGTATATATGTTTGGAAGATTCTATTAACACTAGAACCGTGGCGATTTAAGCCTCCCATAAAACCGTGGATGAATTATTTATGATTTATATTATTTTATGATTTTTTGGCAGGTGAGCAAAGTAGTAACTAAATGCTACACTTTTATTAATATTAATTCAGTTTGCACCTACATAGTTTAACAGTGGAAAAGAAAACCTATCAGATGGATTAAAAATGGTACAGGTTCTAGTGTTAAATCATATGTTTACTTTTTTAATATAAGTTTTATTTTATTCAAATTTTAAAAATAATAAATCTATGCGCGTAATTAAAGACAATTCATTATTACTATCTTGAACACGAGACTTGAATCTTTAGATATTGGAGATTCCCTTTAATTCGACTGACAAATTCCAAGCGAACGTGCATCTATTTCGCGGCAAGTATCTCGTGTGTTTCAAGGGCGCTCCCGAACGTGTCCTCGAACGCTGTTCGATGGTAGCGTTCGGTAACGAGACTAAGACTTTGAACGAGGAGACAAGGGCAGCGTACACAGAATCCTGTTACATCTTGGCGAACAACGGAGAACGCGTTCTCGGCTTTGCCGATCTCGAACTCTCGACCGCCGCCTTCCCCGTGGGTTATCACTTCGAGGCCGATCCTCCAAATTTTCCCCTCGAAAACTTGAGATTGGTATCTCTTTAACGTTAAACCTTTTTCTCTACCAGTATATTTTTTAGATTCTTATTATTTAACAATTTTTAATTTAACGCTCGAGTTTTAATTTTTTTTTAACAATCATTTTTTGCAACAAAATGCATTTTCTTTTGTCGATATAGATCGGGCTAATAGCCATGATGGACCCGCCACGGCCAACTGTCCCCGATGCCGTGTACAAGTGCCGTTGCGCCGGCATCAAAGTCATCATGGTGACCGGTGATCATCCCGACACCGCTAAAGCGATCGCCAAGTATGTCGGCATCATTACCGACCACGATGACCACGATAATATCAACGGCAATGCCAAGAAACAAGACATTGTGGTGACGGGCGCACAGCTGCGAGATTTGCTACCGGAGCAACTGGACCAACTGATCAGGCAGTATCGGGAGATTGTGTTTGCCAGGACGTCGCCGGTGCAAAAACTGCAAATCGTCGAGAGCTGCCAGCGGTTGCATCTGATTACCGCGGTTACCGGTGACGGTGTCAACGACTCGCCAGCCTTGAAGAAGGCCGACATCGGTATCTCTATGGGCATCACAGGTGGTGGATCCACATTTTTCTCTGATAATATTTTTATTTGAAGAAAAATATGAATGTCACAAATTAATTTTAAGAGCTCCTTCTAACGGTCGAAACTGAATCTTGGTATCTAATAATATTTCCATATGAATTCTAAATCTATTATTTAGCGTGTTTTTTAACTCCGAATTAATGTTAGACTTGCAATGCAATGAAATAAATCTAAAGCTGAAACTGGGATGAGGAAATTAAATTGATCTTCAAATAAAAAATATCCGAAAAATATAAATATCACACACATACACACAACGGTAAAGTTTCTAAAAATAAATTTAAATATAATGTCTGTTGCTTCTAAGATATAAAAATATCGGGGGCATAAAGGATTTAAATGTTTTTCGCGTGCTCCAATTTTTTTACGAACGATCGTCATCACGATGATATAATTCTAGTTCTGATCGCCAGGATCCGACGTGAGCAAGCAAGTGGCGGACTTAATACTGCTGGACGACAATTTCGCGTCGATAGTGACGGGCATCGAGGAGGGCCGACGGATATTCGACAATCTCAAGTCGAGCATCGCTTATACTCTAGCGAGCAACGTGCCGGAGATAACGCCTTTCTTAGCATTCATCGTTCTCGGGATTCCTTTGCCGGTCGGTGTGATTTGCATCTTATGTATCGATCTGGGAACGGACATGTGGCCGGCGGTCTCCTTGGCTTACGAGAAGTCCGAGTCGGATATAATGTTGAGGTATTAAATATACAAAGTATTCTTTATATCATGCAAAATAATCTTAAAAAATTTGATTCAATATAAAAAAAATTAGCAGTCTTTATAAATAATAAATATTTAAAAAGCTAAAGCGCTTTTCGAAGAACAAATAATTCAAGTGGATAGTGAAACTCTAAGCTGCTAAATATATTTAAATATATTTAATTTTTTATTATATATTTTTTTTTAATATCTCAGAAAGCCCAGAATACCCCATAGCGATCATCTGGTCAGCCGGAAACTGATTTTCATGGCGTACGGTCAGATCGGCATGATTGAGGCGTGCGCGGGTTTCTTCACGTATTTCGTGGTGATGGCGGAACACGGTTTTCTGCCTAAACGACTGTTAGGTCTAAGACCACAGTGGGACAGTCCGGCGGTGAATGACCTGGAGGACAGTTATGGACAGGAGTGGACCTACGAGCAGCGCAAGATCCTCGAGCACACCTGCCACACCGCCTTCTTCGTCAGCATCGTGATCGCTCAATTGGCGGATGCGATGGTCTGCAAAACCCGCCGCAACTCATTACTGCGCCAGGGTATGGGCAACTGGACCCTGAATCTGGGCCTGCTCCTTGAAATCGCCCTGGCTTGCGTGATCTGCTACGCGCCCTACATGGATCGCATCCTGAAGACGTATCCCTTGAAGCCAGAGTGGTGGCTACTCGGTGTGCCGTACGCCATCGTCATATTAATTTACGAGGAGTTGCGGAAATGGTGGATTAGAAGAAATCCAGGCGGCTGGTGGGACAGAGAGACTTCGTACTAGGTGAGAAGTTTCATCGATAGAGTGAAGATTGAAAAATGTAGAGCCATAATTAATTTGAACTTCTTATAAGTTCGAGAAAATTGAGTTTAAGACTGAAATCTTAAGGAGAATAAACGAAATTAAAAGTAGATAGTTATGTATTTTTTAAATTCAAATTTGCAAAAATTTTAAGTTTAAATTTTAGCAAACTTTAAACTTACAATTAGTAACTTAAAGGTCTATTTATTGAAGGATGAGAAATATGTTCAGGTTGCATTCTTATACATTGCACCAAGATACAAAAAAAAATAGTTTCGTAAATAACGACCTTTAACGACTCTCTAGTCGTGACTTCTTGAAATCACGCTGTTTACGAGTAGCCCTTCACTTTTCTAAATAAATTACCGCAAATATATCATAGAACGTGTGAAAAACAATCGAATAAATTGCATTATTAAATCAGCTAAATACATTTAAAAAATGTTTAAATATTTTTTTAACATTTAGAAATGATAAAAAAATATAATATTATTAATTTTATATTAATACATATTTCACTGCTGTATATATTTTATGTATTTTTAAAATGTTATTTTATAAATTGTTGTTACTAATATCATAATTTGAATTTAACAAAGTAAAAGTATAAATTAATGAACACAAATGCATATCATGATTTTATTTTGATTTAATATAAATTTTTACTTAAAAAGAAACCTTTAAAAATTAATATTATATTCTTTTTAAAGAAACTTAAGATTAAATAGGTAGTGTTATCATTGATTAAGCAGTATTATCATGCTCCGAAATTTTTACGCGACAGGTAACGATACGCAAAAAACGAAAACTGGAAACATCAAGGGAAGAAACTGGAATTTCATATCCTTTTCTCGATGTGTGGACTTTAGTGTGCTAAAAATATCTCGCAGGTAAATAAAGTTACCAGAAAATCTTGATTTTCGTAAAGCTGTGTACTGCTTTCGCAGCGCATCCTCCGCGACTTTTATATTTTGCAGTCTACATTTCCAATTGTTATAGTTTAATTTAGAAAATTAATTAAAATTTTTGGATTGTTTTGTACTACATGTAATAAATAATTATATTTTCTAATATGCAATTTTATATATGCAAAAAAAACGTATAAATAATTACAAGGGCATCATAAAAGTTATTACAAAATTAATAATATATAATAATATAATGTTAAACAAAATTAAAAATATTAATAATACAATATATACACGCAAATATATCGCGGCATTGCTGCAATAGTGTCATAGAAATGACAATTTTGAGTTATTCATTGGAAAAGATGGATTTTGGCGTGTACTTTTATCTGGTGATGAATAACTCAAACTTGTCAATTTTCGAGATATGACACTATTGCAGCAATGCCACGACATATTCAGAGAATCACATTAAAATCATTGATGACAGTATCATTTGTATATAACAGTATTGACACTATTTCAAAATGATTTTGAAATTACATTATTATTAATACATAAAAATCAATAAATGTGTATATACATATCTATATATTTTGTTCATCAATATATAATTATACACTCAGCTCCATATCAGCTTTACCGATTTTAACATAACTCGCACGCTAGTACTCGCAATTTTCTAATGTACAATTTTCTATAATGCAATTCCAGTCGAGCTATAAATTGATACATCTGAAAATTATACTAGTGCATGTCACCGTGCACATGTGTATATGTAGAAGATTGTCGGTTTTCCCCCCATAGACTCTACGTGATCACGAAGTGTTGTAACCCTGGATGAAGTGGGGGCCGCATATAAGACCCCGACGTTCGAAGGGGCCCAGTAGTCTCTAGTCACGAATACGGCCACGTTACTACGACTGGATCATTGTACAATAGTGACGTCACTCTTTTTTTCTCTCTTTCTCAACGGCGCCATCCTTTCATCGGGATGAAGACGGAAATCCTTCTTCTCCTGATCTGCCTCGGTGAGCCCTTCATCACAATTTTATTTGTTCAAGATGAAATCCAAAGCTGAATTTTTCGATATCCTTTTGGATTCTTTTTTTTCACGTAAAAGTGTTACGAATCGTATATTTGTAATAAACAACTGTTTTATGTTTTCAATTTATTATTTTCAATTAGATAACGAATTTGCAGTAAAACGTGAAAACTCTTCAATATATTTGCCATATGTGGAACATATACACACTGATAAAAACTTGTTGTATTTATCAAGTTGTATTTATAAATTTATATACTTGGTTTATACAATTTCAATATAAAATGAATAAAACACAATTCAAGAAATATATTTATTTTTAATTTATTTATAAAATATGTATATTACTATAAGATAGGAAAATATGATAATTTTTTATTTATACTTTATATATTCCGTTTATATTTCCATTTTATTTCCTGCTTTTATTTTTCATTTAATTTACAATAGATAAATAAGTTTAAAATAATTAAGAACTTTGATTACAGTAGGAAGAAACATGTTCGATATAGTTAAGACCATTCAAGATTGTATTTATATTGTTATCTCTTTACATCGGAATCGCGATGTTTACTAACGAAGTCTACGGCGTTTGAAAGCTATCAGATCGAGCCGATTAAGCGACATTAAAGTTCTGAACGGCCGGACGACCGAGCGTACGCACGAGAGCTCGGCCACTTTCTCACTTTCTTCGCTCACGCTCGCGAGGTCGACCGGCATTTCTTCAGGGACGCAGACAACGTGCCGCCTTGAAAACGTGCCGAGGGACCAGTCGACCCTCTACCTTAATACGTTCACTCTTGTCTTTCTTCATTTTTTATTTTCTCTGCTTTGCTGACAATGAATAGCTCATTGACGCAAAAGGTTTCGACCCATAAAAGTCTAAAAAGATTCGATTTGACGAAAATAAGACTGAAATTTCATACAATCCTCTTGATATTTAATAACTTTTTCCCTAAAAAAATTTTTTATTTATTAGTTACAATAGGAACTAATAATTAAAATACAAAATACATTAAATTAGTGAAGTAATACATGAATTATTAATTCCTATTGTAACTAATAAATAAAATACAAAATACATTAAATTAGTGAAGTAATACATGAATTATTTTTTTCGAGTCAGCATTGACAAAACAATATTGAGAAATTATTGAAAATGCTAAAGAATTTAATAACAATTCTTTTTCATTCCTATTGTTACGCAATCTCTCGTTTATATTATATTTTAATATAAAATTTGAAATCACAGGGGCTGCCGTTGCTCTGACGAGGAAGCAAGAGGCCGCCGAGCAAAGCCGTCGAAAGGTCGCTTCAGCTACGACGCCGAAGGAACCAGAGGAGGAGTATGAGGACGACGGGGAGCTCGTGGACGAATGTCCGGAGCCCAATGGATACTTTCCGGACGCGGAACAATGCGATAAATATTACGACTGTCGAGACGGCAAGATAACGGAAAAATTGTGCTCCGACGGTCTTGTCTTCAATGATTTCAGCCCGCAGCACGAGAAGTGCGATTTGCCGTTCGGCATCGATTGCTCAAAGAGACCCAAGCTACGTAAGCGAGCTATATTCCGTTGTTTATATATTATGTAAAGGCTGGTCTACATAAGTCGCAACACGCAAAACGCAATTCGCAAACGCGGACGCAAGATGACGTTTCTCTCTTTTTTTCTTTTTTTTCCACGGTTCTTTCTTTTTTTCTCTGCGCCTGCGAATTGCGAATCAGCCTTAACGATTCATGACACGAGTCAAGTGATTCGAAAGTATTATTTAAAAAAATGTTAATATTACACGTGCATCTTTGAATAATACACATATTTCGAAAATTTATTTTATTTTATCATCTGTTTTGATATTGAAAGATTTCATTCTTTTTTTTACACTAAATTTTTATATCTATTCCTCTTACAGAAAAACCACAATCATCGCCACACTGTCCCCGCATGCACGGCTACTTTGCCCACGAGGACCCCAGGAACTGTAATACCTTCTACTACTGCGTGGAGGGCAAGTTCAACATGATCACTTGTCCGGATGGTCTGGTCTTCTCCGAGAAGACCGGCATCTGCAACTGGCCGGACGAGGCGCAGAAGAAGGGCTGCGGCTCCCGCGAACTCTTCAACTTCACTTGCCCGAAGGTCGACGACTCGGTGGCCGCGACGCATCCGCGTTATCCCGACGCCGAGGACTGTCAGTACTTCTACGTGTGTGTCAACGGTGAGATACCGAGGCGAAGCGGATGCAAACTCGGCCAGGCGTTCGACGAACGCACCGGAAAGTGCGACTGGGCCAGAAAAATTCCCGAATGGTACGAATTATATAGTAGAATTTTCCCATTTTCTTATAATTTTCTTAATTTTCTTATTAAGGATAAGAATAATTCTAAATATCGATGATGTGTTTGGCTTAGAAAATGAGGAACCGGCCAAAATCATAGTTCTTCACTATTCAATATAACAAAAATGATTTTTTTATGTTTTTTTAAAATAATAGATTTTTTGTTATAAGTTGTTTCTATAAATAATACAATATTTTATAAAATTGATAAATTAAAATTGATATAAGAAATGTATATAGATTTCAAGTACTCCAAACAAAAAATTAAGTCAAAATTAATACCCAAAATTAAAGAACTTAATCGAACACATCAGAAAAGTAAAAACATGAATAATAAAATTTAGATTTAAATTATGATTTATATATATACAATTTAAAATAACATAAAAAATGATTTCTTTTTTTTTTTTCATAAAAAGAAGGAGAAAATTCATTTGTGTGTTATTTTTTGGAGTTACGTGTCACTTACGTCAAATCCATCGAAAAATTATAATAAAACAGCTTATGCTTTTTTTCTTCTAATTTATCATCAAACATATATTTGAAGTAAATAATGTAATTACAGCAAAGACTGGTACAAGGGTCAGCTAACCGACGAACAATTGGACGCCTTGGAGAATCCACCGCCCAAGCCAAAGCCTACCGGTGGACCAAGCAGAAGAAAAGGCAGCAGACCAACTGCTTAGAATCAAGATTTTAGATTAAGCATGTAGGTTTTTAAGTCTCTTTATTTTTAAATCGTATTGTATAATAAATATCTTTACAAACACACGCTTTTCAAAATATATTTCGTCCTATCTTCGAAATAATTTGCTTAGACAGATGACAGATTCGTGAACTCGACTTTAAACAGTTTAAAAAAAAAAAGCTGTTAATTCCGAAGAAAATTATTCGAAGTCTCCTGGCGACAAACTATTTTTACGTTTTCATTTAATTGGCGCATTATATTACATTACTATTTTATTAAAGTCTATTTTATTAACGTCTTCGGCTTATTGATTTCGATGACAATCACTCTATTTTCTCGCAAAATCGCGAGATTTCGTTAAAACCAGGAATCGCGGAACTGCTCCGTAATAAATTCAGATCACGTTTTAAATTTGAACGGTGAAAGTATGATATCGACTGGCGTTCCTTGCATTTCATACGTGGGAAACATTTCCGAAATCCAGCTCTAACGTAATGCTTTCGTAAGCCCGAAGATCGTGAGACGAGGATCATTTTACGTAAGCCAAAGAGAGTGAACATTAGTTAGAACACTGATATTAAGCAGAAACCGCATAGAGATGAGATAGCAAAAATATCTACGAAACGTTCTATTAATTGAAATAGATATATACAATAACATAACATTAATTAATGAATTAAAATTTACTTTTATTCGCTTTATTAGATTATATGTTCTATTACAAGAATAGAACAACGTGAACTTTCAGCAGATCAATAAACTACGTATCGAATATTACAATTCTCACTTTCTCGCGGAAAAAACATCGGAAAACGTTGCCGAAGCGAGAGTGAGAGCGAAACGGGAAGAGCATCATTGTGCATGACGAAGAAAAACTTGTGATTGACATTCAACATTGTGGCAATGAAGTATCATGCCACTGTGATATACATTTCATCTAAAGATCATTAAACCTTATACTTGAACGATTGAAATAAGCATGTATGCACTTCTAATTAATATAATCAGTATCTTTTGATAAGAAATATACTGTATTTTGTGTGTTAATACTGAAGTGATTCTAATTTTATTTTTTATTATATAACCAATTTTGTATCAATGAGAAAAAATAAAAATTTATATATAATATGAAAAGCTTGAGCAAGTGATTAATTAAAAATCCTCATATTTCTTAATATCTTACAGCCTCTAATATCTCATAGTTTTATAATTTTTATACTTTATTATATTAAATATTTTATAAGATATATAGATATGTTAGAAAATTCTTGCATATTTTGTTTTCCATATAGAAAAAATAAATTATTTAATATAAAATTTTATGTATTTTATATATGTATAATAGTTTAATAGTTGATATAGAGATTTATGTCTCAAATTTGTTTTACTAATATCTTACTAAATAAACAAAAGAGTACTATGATGGGCAGTAACATAGTTGCAGAACTCAGTTTTTCGGAACAATTCAAGCGAGAGCGAAGGTGAATGTTAAATGACAGTTAAGAGAAGAAAGCTTAATAAAAAACTGTCGTTTCCTGGCGGTCAGTGATGCGTAATTTGCTATTCTTCGTTTGAAATTGTTCGTTTAGATTATTTAGAAACGTGGGCAAACGATTCTCCGAGACATTAACCGCTTTCATGGATTTTTAAAACGTTCGCCCTCATTAACTTGAGAGTTTTCGATTTTTCCAAGCGTTGCCAAACTTTCGAATATTTAACGAAAACAATTCATTTAAAGAAATGCAAAAGTGATTTTTTTCTATTACTTCCATATTCTTTAATTTTTTTTGGTCGCATCTCTTGTCTTTCTTAATTATATAATTCTGAAATTTATTTCTTATGGGGATTTCTACGTGCTCAAGAGTGTATTTTTATCAAATCAATAAATTTCATCCGTCTTGAAAAATTAATTAAATCCTCTCAGAGACGAGGAAAACGATATAATTGAAATATTGGCGAAATTTTCCGGCATTTGCCCGTCATCGTCGTTGCGAAGCAGCGTGCGATTGCGATTTGCATTTTTCTCATCAAAGAAAAACAGAACGAAGGACATCGAGGTGAGAGCGCTGAGAGGAGAGAGGAGAGTAAATGTCTCCTCTCTTTCTTTCGCACTCTTTCTCTTTCTCTTTCTCTCTCTTCCTCCACTTGTCTGCTCAATCGTCATTCTCGACGAGTGTCGATGAAAAGTGACGGCGAAAGTGGGATTTGCGTGTGGGATAGTGGGGGATCCGCGGGGTATACCCAGCCGGCGAGTAGCCGAAGAGCTGCAGTTTTCGCGAGGGCGACCTCGGGCCATCCCAAAGAGGAACCAAAAATTTAAATAGCCTAATTCAACCCGTTTCCGTTCGTTTCAGTGAAATCTTAGTGCGACCTAGGGATCATCCCGCGACGATCCGACAAGAAAGCACAAGCAAATCGAAAGAAATGTTCACGGCCGGGATCGTCGCGTTGCTAGGCGCGATCGCGCTGACACGTGAGTATTAATTCTATTATCAAAGGGGAAACATGACGTTTTAAAGTATTGCAAAGAATACTCGCATTAAAAATGTTTGTCTCTCTCTCTCTCTCTCTCTCTCTTTGCAATATCAAAATTATTGTTCTTTTTAAAAAGTTAATGTTGATCAATATTATTATAAATTATAATTTATTGTTAATAAAATTGTTTACAATATAATCTACTTTAGACAAATGTACATAATGGATGTAAAATTTTTTAAAAAGAAAAAAAAGGAAAAGTAAAATAAAGTTTTATTAATTTTATAAAAGAATATATTGAATCCGTCTTATAATTGTTACTCTTAAACTGTTTTCCCTTCTCTCTTAATTAACACATTCGAATATTATATTATATTCAATCCTTCAAAAGTTTAAATACTTTTTGATGCAGTAAAAATGTTTAATTAAAATATTTTTACTGCATTAAAATATTTTTTTCTGTAAATATTGAATTAAAAATATTTACAGAAAAAAAATGTAATCCATTTATGTCATATAAATACATTATATTTTATAATTTCTGTAATACTAACTTTTTTAACAATATTATTTTGAACTAGATCGCGTAAGTGAATAACACAAATAAATTTGATAGCGCCTTTTACACGGCTGGATCTTAGTGCCTAATAAATTCTATATGAATTTTAAATCCATTTTAAATCCATTATTCAGCCATTTAAACTGCGCGCCAATGTCGGACTTGCCACGCAATCATTAACTAAAGTTGGAATAACAAGATCACAATTGGTCTTCAATTCTTAATTCGATGCTTATTAGCATCTTAAATACTGCAAAGAACCCAATTTTTCTATTTTTATACCGGTAATCACTCTGTTGCAGAATTATTTGATAATTCTGCAAAAGAATATTATTAACAAATTATTTATTTTTGCTGTAAATCAATAAAGTAAGAATTATTACTAAAATGTTAATTAATGCTATAAACAAATTGCTTGATATTAGTGAATTATTCATGACCGGTAGAACAAGGATAAAGGAGGAAAGCGCGAAAGAGAGTAGCTCTCGGAAATGGTCGTTAGAATTAGCGCGGAGACAGTGCGAGAGCGAACTTTCTAAATCGTAAATGTCAGTTTTCTCGTTCGGCGAGTTGCATAAGCAACGGCCGTGCATAAGCGCGGCCAAGACAAAATTACGTAACGAACCGACGAAATAATGCCGCCGATCCGACGAAAGAATTCGACGGCAGGGGTCGAACGGGTTCGACCACCTCCGTCTATACCGGAAACGCCGGGTCGATTTCCGCCTGCGCGGTATAGTATATTACATCTCGTCGCATTACAGACGCCGCGTACAACTGCCCGAACAAGGACGGCCAATACGAGGACAGCAAGCAATGCGACAAGTATTACGAATGCGTCGACGGCGTGGCGACGGAGAAGCTGTGCCCGGACGGTCTTGTGTTCGATCCCCTGAATCGCAAGATCAACAAGTGCGACCACGTCTTCAACGTCGACTGCGGCGACCGTCTCGAATTACGTAAGGCGATGAACCGTCACAGATTTGTCGCGAAGAAACGTATACCAAAAGATCAATATATTCGGTTGGTTAACGTCGAATAGAATTTCTAATTATTAATTAAATTCCTTTTGTTGAGCAAATCATTATTTTTTATACAATTACATTAAAATAATATCCGTGTTTATACTTTTTACTTATGTCTAAGGAATAAAACAATACATGTAAACCAAATAAAACGTATATCAAAAGATCAATGCATTCGGTTGGTTAACCAACCGAAAAAAAATTCTATTCGATGTTAATTAATTAACATCGAATAGAATTTCGAATTATTAATTAAATTTCTTTTGCTAGGCAAATCATGATTTTTACAATTATATAAAAATAATGTCTGTCTATTTTTATCTATGTCCACACAAACTGCATCTTGTATATTTTATACGCGTCCAACTTAACTATAGTTACGTTCACGTATCGAATGTAATAAGGTAATTGCGATAATGAAGCGCTGTACGATTAATTAATTGTGGCTCGTCCTTGTTAAAACAGAACAGCCACAGTCGACGAAGAAGTGCCCGCGACGAAACGGTTTCTTCGCGCATCCCGACCCGACAGTGTGCAACGTCTTCTACAATTGCATCGACGGTGAGGCGATCGAGATCACCTGCACGACCGGGCTGCACTTCGACGAGTACAGCGGCACTTGCGTGTGGCCGGATAGCGCGGGTCGCGAGGTGAGGAGGCCCGAGAAAGAATTGTTTGCCGATTACGATACACGCGTTTGGCAGTAAAGTTAATTGAAAGTTTAAAGTTCCGGGAACGAAATCTTGACTTTTTATCCTATATACGTAACGTATATATTCAGCGTGTAATGCTGGAGCTGCCTCGGACGGAGGTTTCGAGGGATCGTTTCGGAATTGTAACAAAGGCCACGAACTTCTCCAAAGTTAAATCTTTAATTGGGAGAAAGTATACGCACTTCTAACACAACCCGCGCATTGCGCGCGCGTGTACTTGCGCGTGCTTTCTCCCAATTACAGATCCTCGGGTCTGAAATATTTCCTTGCAATTAGCGGGAATTTAACGATGCAATTCTGTTAGCGTTTGAACTTAGAGGAATCAGACGAACGGCGTTCAGGAGATGCGAACAACGAAATCGTAATCTTCGGTTAGCTACATTACAGTACATGATTCTTTAAATTTAATACCTTGCATGCTTAATTAAATAAAATTATAATAACTACGTAAAACAAAACTGGAGATGAGAAATTAAAAATTGTAAAAAGTAGGAAAAAGAGAATTAAGAATGTTTAATATTGAGAAAATTAGATCGTGAATTAGGTCGTCTAATCTAGTGAAAAAAGATCAATCGCAAATTCATTGAAAAATTGCTAAATCGAGTTGATAAGTGCTAATCATTGCAACGCTCCTCGAGACAATAACGAGATAATAACGCAGAAATATGCTGCATGATGCAGGGCTGCGGGGTCTTGGGCAAGAAGCTGAAGGACGGCTTCGAGTGCCCGACCGAGAGCCAGGTCGACAGTAGGGGCATGCTGGTCGACCATCCCAAATTCGCGCATCCCGAGGACTGTCAGAAGTTCTACGTATGCCTGAACGGTGTGACGCCGCGCGAGCAAGGTTGTAGCGACGGCACCGTTTACAACGAGGAGCAGCAGAGATGCGATTCACCCGAGAACGTCCCCGGATGGTACGAGCCGCCTTGCTATATTATTATTGCGTCATTAAATTTCCATATTGACGAGCCAGCAATTAAATATAATCACCCAAAATTCACGTTGGATTGTAAACATGTTGAAATCGTCCGAAATAATGCGGACACATGTACAATTTTGATGGTATTTCTTAAACGCGTTGCAATATATATTAGATTGTTAAATAGGAGAAATTTAATAATCTCACTCGATCAACGAGCTTTTTTTTTTAAGTATTATGTATGAAGAATTTGCGCGATTGTGATTTTTAAGATTCAATTTCCATCTCTTGATATTTGTACAACATAATTATGTAGACAGTCACAGAATTATTTCACAGTATTTTTATGAAATCTCTTATTTTGAATTAATTGAGCTATATATATGCTTCATTTAAAAGTTCGAGGAATTTAATGACTGTCGTTTACCTTGCAGCGAGGACTGGTACAAGGACGACGACAAGAAGCCGTAAGGAAGTCGTCCACGCTCATCTGTCCCGCATCGGGACGTCGCACATTCACTTTAATCACCTGTCCCCCCCCCCCTCACCCCCTGTCACCGCCCATGCGTGTAACTCCATGTGTGTGTTTAGCCATTTGAATGTCTTGGAATACATTTTATTTTTACTTTATTAGTCTCCGATCAGTCAATCGAGACCCGACTTCCTTTCCACAGTTTCCCAGTTAATTAAAATGCGCCGGATTAGAATTGAGATAATATTTTTGTTATATAAACTGCCCAATTAATTTAATTATTTACATAATCAAGAAAATCAAATTCAATTTGATTCGTATAATTAACGCAAGAAATCCGTGATTACAAATTATAAACGTGTTTTATTCCGGAAATAATTTTAAAGTTCACAATATTATTTATTTCAGCTGTTAAACAAACATATTGAATTTCTATAGGCTTTAAACAAAATTTGTGCTGTACAGCAAATAAAAAAAAAGAAAGAGACAGAAAGAGGCTTTATTACAATTAATTAACTGACCGTACATTTTACCGTCAAGGTAATCTTAATTTTTCTCAAGAGAAATGGTGACTCAGTTGTCGATCGATTCGCGAAACGGTATTCGCGGAACGTGCAGAAGGCCTTGAATTATTCTTGCAACGAGACCCAGTTGACTATCACTTTCTCCCGAACTGCCTCTCTTGATTCTCTCGCGTTCTGCGATTCACTTTCTCTCTCTCTCTCTTTCCCTCATTCTTTTTCTGGCATTGCATCGATTACGAAATACGGACGAGAGATGCGCTCGCTCGCCTCGCGCTTTCCCAAAATATCTGTCAATGGCGAAGTGTAAAAAGTTTCTCATGTCAAAAAAGGGCGGAAAAAAAATGGAAAAAATAAAGAATGCAGATCCTTAAAAGTGCGTAATAAAATAAATTAAAGATCGACGAAGAGAGAAAAGAAATATTTGAGATAAATCGTCATAATTCTATAGGCACTTTAGGCGCAACGAAAACGCAAAACACCACAACAAAAACAACAATTTTCTATTCATAACACATTGGATTAAAGAAATGCCGTTACTCTTTCTCAGCGAGAGATCAATTTATTTCTCTCGCGTGGCAGGTAAGTTGAGTTATGCACGGTATTCTTCCATTTAACTTTCCAATTCGCGAACGTCCGTCGCAAATGCCACTTGCTGAACGCTTTTTGAGAATTAATTCCACTTGTTAGATAAAAATTAAATTCTCCACTCTGCAATGTGATATATTCAATATGCATAAAATATTCAAACTCAAATATTCGCGTCGCGTTCGCAAGACATATTACAATTTTATTTGAGAATAATGCAAGAATTTTTCAACGGTAAATATTGATTTAAAATTAAATAACGTTTCAAAAGTCTGACATTCATTTATAATGTACATATTTCAATTATCCTTAAATTTGTGAGATCTTATTTTTTTCGTTTAAATTATTATCGAAAATTATTAATTAATATAAGCAATTGTCACATTAACTTAAATAAATATAGATAACTGTTTCTATCATCTACAAGATCATTTTATTTGAGAATAATACAAGAATTTTTTAACAGTACCTATACATTGATTTAAATAAAATTAAATAACGTTTTAAAAATCTTGTTTATATTTATACATTTATATAATGTACGTATTTAAATTATCCTTAAATTCATGAGATCATATTTTTTTCGTTTGGATTATTATTCGAAAATTATTAATTAATGTAATGCAATTGTCATATTAATTTAAATAGACAGATAACTGTTTCTACATCTACAAGATTATTTTATTTGAGAATAATACAAGAAGTTCTTAACGGTATATATTGATTTAAATAAAATTAAATAACATTTTAAAAGTCTCATTCATATTTATATTCATATAAATACGTATTCCAATTATTCTTAAATTCGTAAGATCATATTATTCTCGTTTAGATTATTATTCGAAAATTATTAATCAATGTAATGTAATTGTCACATTAACTTAGATAGATAACTGTTTCTACAACTACAAGATCATTACGTTTGTTTTCTCCACAACGGTGCATAGCTGCGGTGCAGAAAGACAGTTTTAAATAATTAATTAGCGCGTAATTGCTCTATTAACTTAAATAAACAAATAGACAATTATTTCTCTCCGAAACCCGCGAAACAATTTCTCTCGTTCCGCTTTCAAAAATATCTCGGTTTTCGGGCTGACGAAATAGAACTCGGGAGACTTAAGGTAAACGTAATACAGGCAGCCGCGCGCGTGTTTGCGACGCAGATTCCAAGCGCGGAGGTGAGGGATGCAAATCGCGAAACGGTAGCACACAACGCAGCAACACGACCCGGTCGCGCCGCCGTCGCGGTCGGCACCCGGAAACGTCCAGAATTTATATGCACCGATAATAACGCAATGCAATAAAACTTGCGTCTAGCTATGCGCCCATTAAAATGCATTCGTGACGGGAGAAAAAGGAGGCCGCTGCTCGATCCGAAAGAAGAAAAGAGAGAGAATGACGGGACTTTCGGCGTAAGGGGGGCGAAGCCGGGAGGAGGGAGGGTCGGGAAATGTGCAACAGCAAGGACCCGCCAAGGTGGTGGCGAGACCGCCGAGCGAAACAGAACCCGTTTCGGACTCGCAGTCACGTTTTATCAGCGTCGCGACGCGTTGCTGCCGAAGCCGAAGAGGAGGACGAGGAAGATAAGAGAAGAAGAAGAAGAGAAAGAAGAAAGGAAGAAAAAGAAGAAGAGAGAAAGGAGTCTCCTCGGGACGGTAGCTTCAAAACGAAGATCTGAAGAACTTCGCGAATCTCTTCTAGGACTCTCTTCAGAATGACGGAAGTGGGAAAGCACGTGCTTCTTCGTGGTCTTCTGCCGCTGGTGATTCTGGCGACCTTGAGCGGGGCGCAGCAGCAGTTCCGGTGCCCGGAGCCCAAGGGTTTCTTCCCCGATCCGGAGCAGTGCGATCTTTATTACGCCTGCTTGGACGGCCAGCCTGAGGAGAGGCTCTGCAAGGATGGGCTCGTCTTCAGGGATGACAATCCCAAGAAGGATTTCTGCGACATACCGGCGAATGTGCCCTGCGGCGACCGCACGCTTTTGCGTAAGTTCCGAATTATTGGATCTCCTTCTCCCCCCTCCCCCTCTCCCCAGACTCATTAAATCTTTCTTTATTATTACGAAATTAATCTACATTACTTATATGATTATCATGATTCTGTTGAATTTTTGTTTTTCTCTTTTGATTAATTGTAAGTAATAGAGATCAAATTTTTTTAAATTATTATATGCCAGTCAAATAATTTCACGTATAAAAATATCATTTGCTATTTAGAGTGAAATACATTTACTTTTATTTGTATCATTTAGCTTTATATTTATAGGCCATTAAAGTCGAGAGATTTTTCGTTCGAGATGAAAATTCTTTCTGATAATGCTCGATTAAAGGAAGTAAGTCTACAGTTATATATGAGATTTCTCTTATGCTCTTTTTTCCATATTCTCCCCAACAGCTCGACAAACCAGAAGAATGGTCGATTAGGCTGTATCGCAAAAATAGAACTTGGTATGAACCGGTTTTTAGACGAATGGACAGTCAAATTCTCTCTCGGGTTCAGTCTTTTTCTTTCTAAATAGTAATATCTAGCCTTATAAATAATATTAATCTTTATATCGTAGATCAGTTTATAAAACTTTAATTAATAAAATTATGCAAAAAATCTATTAAAAGTTAAAATAAAGCGCAAAATAAATTTAATAAAATTTAAATTACAAATTTTTTTACATTTTTTCAATATTTAATATAAAAATTGATATTTACACTAAATATTAATCATTCTCTTAAATATTTAATTCAATTGCTCAAATGAAAAAGACAATAGACCTTGTTAGCAAGTTCCAAGATAAACTTGGATCACAGAAAAAATTTTGCTGTAAATTCTCAAATACATTCTGCTGTGTTACAATTATATTGTATATTAATTAATAAATATGTCTAATATAAAATTTACATAATTATATATATATGCATTGGTATTAATAATATATTATATGACGGAACAGAGGAGCCGCAGCCTAGCAAGGGCTGCCCGCGCGCGAACGGCATCTTCAGCCACGAGGACCCGGCCGCGTGTGACCGTTTCGTCAACTGCATCGACGGGGTGGTGCAGGTGGTGCCCTGCCCGCCCGGACTGGTCTACGAGCCCAAGATGTCGAGCTGCGTCTGGCCGGCGGATTCCATTCGCCTGTGCGAGAACGCGAAGCGCGACGTCCTGGACGACGGCTTCGTATGCCCGGACGGCGACGTTGCCGGCCCGTCCGGCAGGATCCTGCCGCATCCCACGTATCCGCATCCCGAGGATTGCGCCAAATTCTACATCTGCAAGAACGGCGTGGTGCCGCAGAAGGGCCAATGCGAGCCCGGCACCGTGTACAACGAGGAGAGCTTCAGGTGCACGGAACCGGAATACGTGCAGGGATGGTGAGCTTCATTCTTCTGTTTTTTTATATCCTTGACAAAATCTTTTATGCTATACATATACATATATATACATATATATATATATATATATATATTTTAAGTTATACGTATATACAATGATTCTTTTATCTCAGATTTCCAAAGTATTTAAAAAATGCTTTTGCAAAGAAATTTAATTTCCTAAAGTTGTATTTTTAATATATTAAACATAATGTACTATATTATATGTATATACATATATATTTAAAGTAACTTATATTTATGCAGTTTTAATGATAGGTTCTCTCATAAATTTGTGAGACCGATTTCTGAATTTCCTATATTATTATATCTCGATAATTATTCGTTAGTATCTCTATTTGTTTTTCACTATTCTTCTCTAAATTTCGAAATTTAAACTTTAAAAAATACGTCAGCTAGACTGCTCTCTTTATGATAAAACGCAATGTTTCAGCGAGGACTATTATAAACACAAGAACTGAGTTGGCGTACCGAGGATGCCGCAGTTAACCGCAGCTACGTGTGTAATGCTCATCTTTTTACTCATAGGAACAATAAATGCATGTGATACGCATGCTTACGTAAAAGTCACTGCATGATCTTTGCGAGAGCGATCGCGCTTTTGCCCTCCCCGCGACGAATTACTACCCCTTTCTCCTTTTACGTAAACAAATTCGCGTTTGGAAAATCCGTAATAAAGCCGTCGTCGGTTGCGGATCATTAACCCCGCGAAAAGAAAACCCCGCGGTCCGACGATATCAAGTTCTATATAACATCCGTTAGATAAACCCTCCGGCTCGAACCGGTCCGATTTTATATAATATTATCGATTATGTCGAAATTTTATTGTAAAGGCGCGTGCAACGCTCGCCCGCAATTCCGATTAAATAACTCAAGGAATGAAATTTATTATAATCTAATGGGGAAATAAGTCTTTCACTCTGGATGTTGTCTTAGGTAACATCATTTTTAATTAATGTTGTAATTATGTATATATTCTGATATTCTGTCTTGATATTTTATGTATATTTTTTCATTTTCTGTCCAGGTGACCAGAAATTCATTTATAAACTCACGAGACCAGAGCGAATAAATCTGACGTTTGCTATTAAAGTTTAGTTACACAGATGTTCATTTCTACCACCATATTTCTTCTTTCTAACGTAGATTATCTTCAATCCCGATTTAACTTAGTTTTTATTCTCTTCTAATTTTAAAAATTAGAAAAAAGATAGTAAAAGAGAGTAAATTAAACTGACAAAGTTAATCTACAATGGTAGAAATGGGCCAAAGATTTAAAAAATTTATTATTATTTTAACTATATTTGTAATAAAATTAAAATTTACTTGGCATATAATGACGTATTGCTTAAATACAAAATTCGATACTTTTATCTTTCTTGTTAGTGATAATATAGTAAAACTTGAATTCTTTTAGTTCTTGCAGATAAAAGTAACACAGAAAAAATATATATGTATTAAAATATATCTAATGGAATTAATAATTTTTTATCTCAGATTTCGTGAAAAGAGTATTTTAAAAACGTTTATGCAAATTTATACATGGGAAGATAAAAGATAGAAAAGTAATAAAATAACCAGACATTGCAAAATGATAATATTACTTCTCTTAAATCTCAAAAAATATTCTTGACAAAGATCTAATTATTCAATCTAAAAAAATGCAAAATTTTAGTTTCTTAAAATTGTATTTTTAATATATTAAACATAATGTACTATATTATTAATATATTAAACATTACGTACTCTATATTATCAGAAAAACATTAAGAATATAAAACAAGTTAAGTTAAGGATTATTATTAGATATAAAAAGTATTGTTTATAGTTTTTAAATCTTCTAAGTTGAAAAGAAAAACAAGAGAAAATGTTTTCAAGCGGTAATCTAAAAATTGAAGAAGATAAATTAAGCGAAGTATATAATCGTCGAAATTCATCTATTGATATGATCAAACGCATTTAATGTACGTATATTACAAGTGTTGGTATCGTATAAGTCAAATCGTTAATACTATATTTATCGTGCGTTACAATGAGCGTGACTTTCTCTGACGCGAAAGATTGCACGTCGAAAATCTCCTCACCCCCCACATACTCCAGAGCACATCGCGAAATGCACTCGCGAGATCACTTCTTCGCATCCTGGATTTCACTCCGGCGAGTCAAATGTCAGCGTGAGGCTTAATTAACCCATTCATCATCGGATTACATTGCAACATCTGACATTACAGACGTTGCGCCTTCAGTCGCATTTACTTCTTGTTAAAGAAACTTTTGGCAGTTTAACGTAAGCGAAGAAAAATCAATTTGACAGACGACAAATATAATCATATTTTTTATACTTAATATACCTGCTTCACAACTTTCGCGTTGTACGTTTTATTAAAAATTCGTTTTATCTCTTATATTTTATGTACTTCTCGAATGGAAAATTCTGGAAAACTGCAACTACTTGGCGATTCGGCGCGATTTACGGTGCACAATAAACAGCATGCCACGATTTTCCGCGGCTAACAATTTCTCTTCATTTGCCTGATAGCAACCTTTCTCTTTACGTAATTCGCGAAACGTTCGACGAAATATATCACAATCGTTTATAATTTGCATTTTGTTTGCAACACGAATAAATTCGATCAAAATAAATTTTCTGGCACGTTTGTGAAATAAAATAAAGTAAAAAGATATATACATTGTATTATGTTATATATCTTTTTACTTTATTTTATTTCACAAACGTGCCATAGAAAATTTATTTTGATCGAATTTATTCGTGTTTTATATATATATATATATCTTTTCTCAAGTAAGACGAAATGTATATTTCCTTTTCTTGAAATTGTTATCTATTATTTTATTATAAATGCCGATAGAAATCAAAACACAGAATACCATACGATTTTTTTATATTCAATATGTTATTTTTTAAATGTTTTCTGGTATTATATTTTCCAGACAATTCGTGTTCATAGAAAGTCTAAACTAATTAACTGACCGTCATCGTGACGTATTCAATTCGAACGTCTGATCGATCTGTCGGACTTGTCCGACTCGCCTCGGCTGCTTTCACTATCCGGCAATCTGGTCCCTCCTCCCTGCGGGACCAGCGTGATGGGTCTTGCGTAAGGCTGGCTTGAGGCCCCAGGGGTCTCACCGACGTGCGCACGCATCGGCGTTCGCACCATGTTGATACATCGGAGAGAACACATCTATCGGCGTGCGTTTCAGTTATTACACCACGTTCGTCAATTACAACGCATTTATAGTTGGCGCGTGTTACACCGTGGCCGGTGATGCCACAGGGGGCGAAGATCGCGCCTTGGCATTAACCGTTAAACGTGTTGTCCTTGCTGAATTACCCTATATTTCATTTTCTCCCCGAGAATTAACTCGCTTCTATTTTGCCGACGAAAATTATGCTTTTAGCTAAAGCGCTGCACGCGCGCACAAGAGATTGAGCTATAATTGAGAAAAATTCGAGATAGATCCCAGCAAACGCAGATTATAACTGCAATATTACAGTAATATTGTAACATTTTTGCAATACAGCTGGAATGTTATAATGTTGTTGCAACATTGCATTATTATAATCTGTGTTTGCTGGGATATTTCTACCGCGAGTTTATAACTATATTATTAATACATTTATTATGTTATTAATTTTTAAAAAGATGACTGTTTAAACTGGATTATAATTTACTTGAGACAAAAGCTTTTAAGATCACAATTTCTTGATGAGAGAGAGAGAGAGAGAGAGAGCTCCCTGTAGCGAAAGCTCCCTCGATTAGTAGCAAATATCTTTCAAGTATCTTTCACCTACTACAATCGCACCGTGAACGCGATCCTTGAAGCTGTTATTTATGCGAAGCGTCATATATGATATGATAATGCCTCCGTTTGCGCAGCCGTTCACCGAAAGCGCATAAACACTATACGCGGTAAAATAAGCACGCGGAAAAATAACGAGCGTTTTACTTGTGCAACATTGTATTCGAACGCGGAGAGTCGTGCGCTCCGCCGAGGACGTTGCATCCTCTCGGACATTTCGAGAGAGGTGCAGGAAGATTGTGCTTCGGCATTAAGTCGTTTATTCGCACGCGATGCGCTCTCCCGCGATTTATCGCGATGCCGAGGTAGATTGGAATGATTAAAAGAATGACGGATCGCGCGCGAGTCGTTCCTCCGTCCATAGAAATATTCCTATATACGTTTCTTCATACGAATCATTACGTAAGGCGCACGCAGAGAGTGCTCAACTGCTTAAAAATAGAATTCCTCGATAGCTCTTCCGATACGATGATCGTTACAAACGTATTTATTATGGTTGTTGCAATATCGCTTAGATTTAACCAACTGATTAAATTGATTGCTACATCCGGCTTTTCTTGGATTTGCGTCTTGAAAGTTGGCAATGTGACTCTTTTTTTAAATTTAGTTTTCATTAAATTAATTCGTAAAGTAATAAAATTAATTTATTTCGCGATGTCTCGATCGTCGCACAAACAATGCCGAAGCAAAGGAACTTCCGGCTATATTATTCTTTTCTTTCGTTGACATCTAATTCGCGACACTCTTGCAGGATTTATCTGCTGATGCGTGTTTTTCAATATGTTTTGCGTACATTCTAGAGAACTCTTTCCCCGACTTTCTCCTTGGCAATTTATTCGGGCTTAAATTCGCTCTTTTCTCTCTTTCTCTCTCCAAATCAATATATCTATGCGACGCTGCATGAAGGATCCGAATCGCGACACCCGGACAATTCATCACGCTCGGCGCCGCTGGTCGGCAGGTTTGCCGAGCACGTATAGGCAAACCAGCGGGGCGACCAAGGGGGATCCTGGTGGGGTTCGGCAAAAGCAGCGGTGAAGGGAGTGAAGGGAGCGGACGGGATCGTGTCCGGAGGTGTACCGAGGCCGACACCTAAAGTGCGCGCCAATCGCCGACTTCGCCGTCAGAGGCAGTAGTCAAGCCGAACGTAGTGCCGGAGTGAAGATGAGCTACTCGAGGAGCGTGACCCTGCTGCTGCTCCTGGCAGTCCTCGCACGTGGTAAGTCTCCACCACCACCGCCACCCGCGCCAACCACCGTGTAACCACCCGCGTGCTTATACCTTCACCTACGCGCGCAACCCTACACCTACCTCGCGCATCGTGCCCGCGTGCATCTCCGCCTCGGTATGCGCTTCTCGTCTTCCACCGAGGACTGCCTCCCCGCAGGTGTGAACGCTTTCGTCTTCTCCACGGGCTACCGACAGGTTGCGACATCACCCTCGAGCCCGCGAGGCTTTCACCGTCGAGACACCATATGTTAAGAACCGCGTGTGTGACATAACGGCGGACATTCCGAAGTGATCGTTGAAAAACGTAACGGAGCGATCAGCGATGCAGCTGAATTGTGGAGTAGGATGATTTTTTTATCATTATTTTTATTAAGAGATTTGATTTTTAAAAAATCGCGTTTAACAATTTCCTAATTTTTCAATAATCGTTGGATGTTTTGATTCATATTTTAGAATGATCCATTTTTGTTTAATAACATCATTTGGACAGTTTTAGATTTTTTTGTGCATCTCTTTTATGCTTTCAAGGTCGTTTTTTCAAAAATAATTTTTAACAATATCGCTACTTTTTTCCAGTCTTCATTTTTTCAGCAATAAAATCTGAATATTATTTTACGAGTCGTTTGCTGCTGCATTTTTTTTGCATTTCTATATGTATAGAAAAATAAATATGGTGCTCGACGTTACATTCCGCCTCGCTGCGCGCGTTCGCGGAAAAAGTTCAGGAGAGCCGACATTCGCGAGGCTGTCATGCGAATCGATCTTTACAAGTCGATAAATCAATCAAACTTGATCGACAAAATCCCTTTTTTTTCATTGATATGGATTTTTGTTCATCGCCATTTATTTAAACAAGACGATGCGTCGCAAAATGCGCAAATTTTTATTAAAAAGAACGAGTCTAACTAAATCAAGTTATTTAATTAATTTTACGTTTTATCGATATCGTATACATATTTTCTTTCTTTAATTATGATAAAACTTATTTTTACTTTGTTCCTTATTAAAAGATACTTAAACATAATAGAATAATTAATATTGAGTAATTATATATATTTATATTATTTATGTATAATATACAATAAAACGTCACAATTTATTGTACATATATTATATATAAATAACATATATATAATTCTATATTATTTATTGAAATAAAAATCAAATTTATAATAAGTATTATATGTTTAATATTATAATATATTATAATATGCATTATGTCATATTAATAAATTACATTGCAGGTTTCAATTAATGTATTGTACCTACATAATATTTTTACATAAAAAAACATTACTCCAATTGCATCTTGAAGAACAAAGATTTATTATTAAAAGAGAGTGCTTTTTTTCATTACGTAAATTCTCATTTCACAGCTCAAGGTGCCACCCTACTCGATGCTCCGCCATGCCCCGATCCTTACGGTATTCATGCTTACGCTCACCCTGAAGATTGCGGAGCCTTCTTCTTGTGCACGAACGGCACGCTGACCTTCGAATACTGCGAGAACGGACTTCTGTTTGACGGACACGGTGCCGTTCATAATCATTGCAATTACAATTGGGCCGTCGATTGCGGCAATCGCAAGGCTGACTGTAAGTACTATATTCATGATATGCTTACGCTCACCCATTATTTTATATGTATATATACACGGCTGGGCATATTTCAAATACTTGTATTTGAAATACAATATTGAAATACAATATTTGAAATACAATTTGTATTTTGTATTTCAAATATAATTTCAATCTATTTTGTATTTGAAATACTAAAGAAATTATTGATAAAAATTTTTAACTACAATTATAAACTTAAATTCTTCTTATATGACAATTAGCGACATTAATTATTTTCGTCAAGTTTCAAGCAATATCAAATCATCAGAGTCAAATTTCATAATTTTACATTAGTAAATAGATTTCTCGTGCAGTTGATACAGGACAATAGGACTGTTAAAGAGTATAAAAGAGTAAAATAACTTATCTTTCTCTCTCTAAAAATGGAGAGGAAACTGTTGGAGGGGAGAGTTTAACATTATAAATATATTATTGTAATTGAAAGATTAAATTAAAAGTATTTTATATTTTGTAATTCAAATACTAAGACTGTCAGTATTTTGTATTTTGTATTTCAAATACTTTAATGATGTATTTTGCCCAGCCCTGTATATATAACACATACATACAATGTAGCGATCGTGACGCAGAGATCGAGTTGTCTGCTTTTGGTGCCAAAGACCCGGGTACAAATCCGTACTAGAAAGTCTAGAAACAGCGGATTTTTATTCGATCGCTATCTCTCTGGCAGCAGTAATCACCACCGAGAATTATGTCTTGCCATGAAAACCTCTGTAAATTATTACAGACCGTCCGAAACCGGCGTTAAAACCGGCTGTGGGTCCCGTTTATCTATGTACATAAATTGTAAATAGCGCACATCACAGAAATACAATGACGGGTCTGACAAGAGGCAAAAGACTCGGAAGAATACATACATACACAAATATAAGATATATATAATGAATTTATATTTATTAATTATATGTATATTACATATATAATATACATACATGTATAATAAAATCAATATGACTTATGGTATATATCTTTTGCTATTATTTATAATATTGTTTTTTTCGTAAGAAAACTATATTACTTATATACATGTATAAAAGTAAAAAAATTATATAAAAATGAAAAATCAGTCAAGGCGAAAGAAGCGTGCTTGTCGGGAAAGTAAAAGTACGGAACAAGTGATTTTGGCAGCATTTTAGTGGGTCGCGTTAACGCCAATCATTATGATTTCGCCTTCAAGCGAATCTCTTTGAATCGCTTATATTTCTCAACCGGCTCAATCTCTCCACGCAATCGCAATTGACTTTCCAGTTTCCAGTTTCTTGTTTTTCATATTTTATTGCGCCAAAAAGGTTGACGCTAACAAAAACCACTAACAACATACCGATGCATTTTACTCCACTGCACGCGCAGACAAAAAAAATTCACCGCAAAACAATGGTTCATTGAACGTATATTCTTTCGACCAGAAGACTTTAGAATTATCTACTTTTGCAATGTTTATAAAAAAAGTATGACGTAAGTAGGGTTGCCATCCATCCTCTTTTCCCCGGACACTGTCCTCTTTTTTAGGGCGTCCGGGGGGATTTTCCCAAGGCGTCCGGGATTTTAAAATTTTCTCAAAGAATTTTTTAAATATTTTTACTCCTTCCGCGTAATTATTCAGAAACAAGCCGCTAATCTATTACACACCCTTTTTTTTATAATGCGTCCGGGACTGCACATGCAGAAATGTCCGGGGTTTTTGGCTTGTAAGTTCTAGTTTTGAAAATTTTTATATGACAACCCTAGACATGAGAAATCTCTTTCTTGTCGAATGACGCGTTTAGTTTGCTTTCAAACGCATCTTTCCCCCCTCCCGTAGACATACAATCAGGAGACGCGGTAGCGTCTCCTGCCAAGTACATTTTTTCGCTTCATGATGATTCATCGTGAAAGAGACGCTAAAGCGTATCCTTTATTGGACGGATAACACTTTTGCAGAAATTAAGTAGATAACAGGAACGAAACACCTTCCACCATTGCAGACACGCCGATCAGCAGCCCGGGCTGCGAGTACCAGTTCGGTATATACCCGGAGAGCGACAGCTGCAGCACCACTTACATCAAGTGCGTCCACGGTGATCCGCTGCAGGCACACTGCGACCCCGGCCTGGTCTACAACGGCAAGACTCGCACGTGCGTCTGGCCGGACGAGCTCATCCCCCTTTGCAACCCCGAGACTATAGTGGGCTTCAAGTGCCCGCACAAGCTGCCCCCGCACAGCCCCGCCGCCAAGTTCTGGCCCCACCCGAGGTAGGTGTAATGCACGTGCCAACGCGCGCGATTATATACGGGACGGCACTTCCGAGAAATCACTCGTAATGAGAGAGTCCACGGCGGAAATAAAAACTGCAGCGACGGGGGTCGTCGCACTCCGGGCGGACAAGCGTTTTTTAAAGCGCGTTCGCTTTCTTTCATTCTTTCTCTCTTCTTGGAAAGCTGGAAGAATTTAATCTCTCAATCTTTTGTGACTGAGCACGTTCATCAATATCATTCTCTTTCTCGATACGGATTGATAATTGATTGATTATACTGATTGATTGATGATAATTTATCGATTACTCTAATATACGCTAAACTTGCAAATCGCTGATCTCTGCAATACAATATATTCTTTCTTTTTTATCCGTCTATCGAAATTAATTTGAATTTCACATATATTATCTTATATCTAATTTAAATATTTCACTAAAAATTATCTTATTATATTCGAGATTCTCAGTAGCTTAACATATCTCTTATATTCTCTTCCAATCATAATAAAAATCTAGATATACATGTATCTTCGATCGTATCATCAGATTTCTTTCATCAGATGACCCACGCATGTAAATTTTCGATTGCGTATTTGTTGAAATTGTGTGTGTAATTATTTTACTGCGCACAGCCGCAAGGTATAATAAAATTCTTTATCTTAGTCTCTCTTTTTCTCTATTTCTCTCTTTTATTACGAGGAAGATTCACCGGGAGGAAATATTGCCCGCCATCGAAGATCGTGAGAGTAAAAGAAGTCGACGCCGTTAAATGTCAGACATTTGTGCGTAGCGCTTCGATTTAAAAACCGGTCGCCTTTTGAGAAAGATCGAGAGAACGAAAGAGAGAAAGAGATAAATGTCGACGCGCGTGTTTTACTCGCAAATATTCAAATTTTTGCCACGTTAACAAACACGTTATTCTTTCCTTCCAAATTACATCAAAGCTGTTCTGAATATTGGGACAAAAATGGGAAAGTTTACTATAATACTTTTTATTATTTACAAAACGTGCAACTGCTAAATCTTTTTTTCAGTCACGGAATCCTATAGATATTTCGCTGTAAATTTCCGAAGTGTAGTTTAAAGCGAGCAGTTATTATTTGAACGTTGATATTGAAGTGATATAAATTCAAACTTTTATATTTATCTGTGCAAATCAGAGATTTATAAATGGCATGATTTTCAGATTCCCTGTGCCAAATGACTGCGGTAGGTTGATCACCTGTGTCGACGGACATCCGCGACTTCTCACCTGCGGAGAAGGAAAACTGTTCGACTCGGTGAGCCTGACTTGTCTGGATCCGCACGAAGTTCCTCACTGGTTTGTATTTAACACTTTATATTTAAAAGCTACAAGCTACAGATCAAAATCTTAACTTCTAGCTTGATTTGAACAAACTCGAACATCTAATCTAATAATATCGTCGATAAAAAGTACAAAAATTTACGTGCTTATCGAAATCGAGGTACATGTTAACTCAATTTAATGCAGAACATAAGTAGAGATATTTTAATTTTCTAATTGTATATTTACGTGTCTTTTCAGCTCAAATGGTGTTTAAACGCGGAGGCACATTTCCGACCATCAGCCGGTACTTCAAATCAACGAATTTGGCAAAAAAATATAATAATATATTATTTTGAGATTTTTACAGATATAGCTAAAAAAATGTTTACAATTGTAAAAAGTTGCATTATCACAGGGCAAGATTGATTCTAGAAATTGTTTCAGAAAGAAGAACTGAGAACAATATGTTATTTGGAGATTTTTACAGATATAGCTAAAAAAATGTTTACAATTGTAAAAAGTTGCATTATCACAGGACAAGATTGATTCTAGAAATTGTTTCAGAAAGAAGAACTGAGGAGAAACATCAGTTATAAGAATTATGAGAAAATTACGTGAACATATATAAAATTATAAAATGTTAATAATACAAATATTTTTACGCAGAGAGTAACTAGAAGGAATTAATTAATAAGGACGGAATAAAAAAGATGAATGTATTCCTGTTAGATTTGATTTTGGTTTGTTGCCAATAGACGAAGATTTATCAAACGTAAATTATTATTAATAGACGTTTAGAGGGGACCAATTGTATTGTACAGTGCGTGAAGAGCAAGTACGATATGTAGTACATATAGTGTATTTATACGTAATACGATATGTAATACATATAATGTATTTATGATAAATATATAGTAACAATGTACAGCCAGGCAACATTGAATAAAATCTGGACATGCGTATAAAAAATATACAACGTACAGTTTATTCCAATCGATCTACATATAATACGTGGTACGAGTCTTACGATTACGAGAGCGCGGGGACGGGGATGAGAGGGATGTGACGGGGAAAATATTTACATCTCGACTGATGCGACGGAGGCGAATGGTGAACGGTCCAGGAACCGCGAAGAAACGAGATGTTCATTAATTAACGTTATTATCGATTAGTAATGCGAGCCTCCGTTGAGGAGGCAGGAGAGCTCGATCGGTCAAATTCCTAGATCGACGGAAGTCTCGGTCTTTCTCATTTTTATCGACTCTATAATTTCCGTTTCTTGAAAAACAATCCTGCATTTGTGAATATTTTGTCGAATTGATTTTTTTTTCGATATTATATTTTTTACGCAATACTTTTTTTAATATTTTTAAAAAAATTGAAACTTTTAAGATCGATCTTTTATATCACGCTTGGCTATTTTTTTTACAGCTTACATGTTCTTGTAAAAAACATTCAACTGACTTTGAGAACTTTTCCATTGTTAAATAATTAGAAAGTTTTATTCAATTTTTCATGAGTTAAATTATCTTAGATCGCAAATTAAAATTCATTCTATTGATAAGTTTCTCCCTTTTTATTCGTGAATTGAAATTCGTGAATAAAATGCTCATTAATTGAGAAGAACTGTGTAATTGTACAGGCAGTTGCCACTCTCACTTTTACTTTATAAATTTAAATTTTATATTCCTATCTGAAAATTAATATCTTCCTTGTGGCAAAGGTGAAACGAAGATTTTTATCCACGTGAAGTAACAAAGAACTTTTCCTTGAGAAATTGCGGAACCTGAGCTTCTCCGTCACACTCGGGGGTAATTTCGGAGGGAACATTAAAAGAAATCTAAGAAGTTAAAAAAAAATGTCAAAAAAATTCGTCCTTATGAGAATTCTAGAATTATAAAATTACATGCGAGTAGAGCTGCGCGAGAATCTGGGGAGGATCTCGACGAGAGAACTTGTCCGAGTTCTCCGCACCGATCGACGATCTCCGGGATCTCGCTCGTCGAGAAGGGGATCTCCTGGCGCTTCCTTCGTCCTTCCGGGCCGGACGACCTGCCTGACGATTTTTAGTTCCTGGGGCGCGCCCGCAGGGGGATTGGCAGAGCGCCGGACGGCAGGGGCGCAACTCCGGGCGGCAGATTCTCCTCCTCGGGCTCCTGCTCGTTGCGGCCGTCGGACAGCTCGCCCTCGGTGGGCGGCGGCGTCGTGGGAACGTCGCAGTCCTCCGTCGGCGGCACCACGCATCTCAGCGACCGCCTGTCGAACACCAGCATGGCCGGGCAGCGCTGCAACCGCGGGTAACCACCCTGGCACTGCCAGTAACGGTTGCACGACTTGCCCAGCGGCACGTTGCCGTTCGCGTCGTCGTTACAGAGTGCTGCAAACAGGCTGCGTTTTACTTCTACAGTCTAATTGGGACGTGCGCCTAGGGGCTCTCGACGCTTTCGAGGAACCACTTAGCTAACGGCGATTGAGACACGCAAAAAACTGTACGCGCTGTTCATATGCATATAAATGAACTATTATATAAGTCAAAGTGTCAACTATTAAAGTAAAAATAGAGAATTTTGAGTTGCAAATTGGTTGACTTTTTGGTAAATTTCTTGATATTTAATAAGAAATTGTATAATAAATTATCTTGATATTTAATAAAAAATTGTATAATAAATTTCTTGCTTTATTGCGAACTGACGCGACGTCGATTAAGTGAAAGTCGAAAACTTTCGTTCGGGACCTACCGATGATGGATTAATTCGAAATTTAATTATGCAGTGTACACATTCGCGAATGTCCCTCTTTTTTTTCTTCTTTCACTCGGACATATGCGCGGAAGTTAATTGCCGTGAGTTTCAAGACATCTCTAAGATTTTCAAAAGATTGATGTTAATTTATTAATTAAGTCATCAATATTAAATAAAACATTTCATATATGAAAAATTATTTTAAAATATAAGTTTCAAATAATTTTTCTTCATCTTTGTCTTCCTAAAAGAATTTTTAATATTGCAAAGGATATTCAATACTTGTCCTAATTTTGAAATATTTTTTGTCGCTTTCAACCTCATAAAAGAGAAATACGATCTCGCATGGAGGATCGATGCATCGGCCAGCGTTTGACATTCAGAGAGAGGCGACGCGAATTAATAATAAACCGATAAACGCGTTTTATCGGATCTCGCGGGCGAAGAGGGGAGTGGGAGGGGTGAAGAAAGGCGCGACGAGAATTCGCTTCGAATGCTAATTAAGTGCCTCGCCCATTTTTCCTTGGGCACTGACTCCTGGAAGGAACTCCGAGAAGTGGGCACACGAGGAAACGCATCGCGCGCGTCCTGTCCGCCCACTTTCGAAAGTGAAAATGATCGTTAAGATTCCGCTTCTCGTGAATTAAATCCGCCTAAAATCGCATCTTAGAGGCGTCTCCGCTGAATTTAGCCGAATGCCAATTTAATTCCAAAGATAAAAGTTATAAATAAACGAAGATACAAATAAGAAAGTGAAGAGGTCCAATCTGCAGGGTTTAAAGTAATTGATGAGAATCGAATGCTATTTGCACGGAACATCGCGCTTATTTCTCAAAAGACATTCGACTTCCAAACGGTGTCCGTTCATTAACATCATTTCTTATGCGAGATATCTTCCTTTTTTTATCTTTCTCCACATCAATCGTCTCTCAAGTTCTCTAACATATCAATTCTAATCTCAACTTTATGATAAAATTTCCTCTCGCTAGCTCTCGATTTGAAGGGTCATTGTACTCACGATGCTTCTGGCATCCCTCGACGTTCTCGGGCCAGTCGCAGGATCTGGCCCGCTCGTTGTAGAGCAGACCGCCTATGCAGAGCTGCTCGGTGGCGGTGCCGTTCCAGCAGGTCCAGTACCTGGTGCAGGAGGTCTCGTGGCCGAAGATACCGTACAGCCAGTCGCAGTGCTCGGTCGCGATCGGCGGATTCGCCTGGCGCTTGCCATCGCAGTAGTTGGCGCGCCACGGGTAGTCGCAGCCCTCGGTGACGCCGCGGTGCTTACCGGCGAACACGAGGCCGTTCGGACAGTCGAACAGCTCCGGGCGGCCGTTCACGCACTCCCAGTAGCGGTCGCAGTACTCGGAGTCGCCCACCACCCGTGACTTCGTCTGGCACGGATCCTCCTGCTGCTGCTTCTGGCCTAGCGAGCCTGCAAATAATAAGCCTGTAAACGCTTGCACGGAAAGATTTTGTTGAAAAGTCTAAAAATTTTGCTAAATACAGATCTGAAAATAATTCTAGTTTGATCATCAAAATAATTAGTTGGAAAGTTAAAAATTATAAGCATTACTATAAAACGTTTTGATATTCTAGCAATCATTTTGACTTTCCAACAAAATTATTTTGATTATTGAACAAAAATTATTTTCAAATCTGGATCCAGCAAAATTGTTCTTTCCGTGTGTCCCTCGTACTCTTCTTCAGGGATGGAATTTGTCCGAGTCGTGGCTGGGATCACGGCGAGGAAGAAAGAAATTCGTTTGGGAAGATTAGGAGGATGCAACTTCCCAGCAAACACCAAGTTACATGTAACGTACCTGTTATAGTTGTGATTTTCCACTCAACAATATAACTATAACGTAACACACATGTTATATTATACACGGAAAGAACAATTTTGCTGTATTCAGATCTAAAAATAATTTTTGCTCAATAATCAAAATAATTTTGTGCAAAAGTCAAAATGATTGCTAAAATATCAAAACGTTTTATAGCAATGCTTATCAGTTTTAACATTCCAACAAATTATTTTGATGATTCAACAAAAAATTATTTTCAAAAATCTGTTTTTAGCAAAATTTTTAGACCTTTCAATAAAATCGTTCTTTCCGTGTAGTTATATTGTTGAGTGAGAAATTAGGTAAAACTAACAGGTACATTACATGTAACTTGGTGTCCGCTGGGTTGGTCCTTGGTGATGTGAAATTTGGGCGAGTATCCTCATTTCCTCGTTCGTGCATGATTAATTTATGATTAAAGCTAATAGTTTTTTTTCTCTTCCTGGTTTTCCTCTGCCTCAATTCCCTACTTTCTCGACGCTAATCGAGCCGCGTGAATTATCTGGATGCTCATTAATGAGCTCTCAAATTTATCCGTCAACTTATCGCGTCATTAATCCCCCCTCGATAAGTGTTAATTATCCTTTCCTTTCCCTTTCGTTCCCGTCTAATGAGTCGCGATTACGAAATATCAGAGTGCACATATATATAGACGTATCAAAATCACGAATTCCTGCACGTGTCCTCGTCGAAGGACATCGTGCGCCTCGGTGAATATCAAGGATGCCGGAATGTATATTTATATATATATTTGATTCTGGCAATGTGCGCCATTTCAGAATCGTTTAGTCGTCGCGATAAATTGAAATTTGTTGAGTCAATTCGAAAGTTACTATCGTTGCATGCGCGAAAGTAATTCGTCGCTCAAGGATATCGCTCGACTGATTAATATATATGAAGTGCCTAGAATGCATATCCTTCTTCCGCGTTATAGAGAAATTTTTATTATTCCGCGGCAGGATGACATCACGAATTTCTTTCACCACAAGTCGCGCGATTCTTTGCACAAGGATATTCACGTCGAAAGTGAAAAGTTGAAACTAGATGCCGATGACGTCTTTTGATTTATATTCAGGATATTACTATCATATAGAGATATAAAAATGTTTTTATTCTTTCGGAATTGATATAGGAATATTTTACATAATCTTTTCTAGAAGCCTCAAGAGATATGTTCTTTGCGACTTTAATTATCATCTTAAAATTATTACGCGATTTATGTATAAGGCGTACAAGTCATTCAACCAATTTGGGGCCTCAAAGTAGAAGAACACTTCAAGGGTTTCCAGAGTAATGCCCTTTTCTATTTTTATACTTTATTTGCAATTCAAATTGAATAGGGAATTAGACAGGTTTCGAATTCTCATTTGAGATCTCCATCGGGGTTACATGCGCAAATTGGAGGTACGCATGCAACATAAACTGCTGGTGCCGTTTTACCACGATGTCCGATCGTTTCGCTAATGATTCGACGAAAAAGCAAATAGTAAAATAAGGTGGGAAGCCGACACGAGGCGCGCTCCCAAGACTCTGCTCTCGAGTGAAAGTGCCTAGCCTTGACTTGCAACCTTCGGGGGCAGTGCTGCTCCACACCCCTGCTCCACCTCTATGGACCCCTCTATCGGTCCTCCTTTGGCGCACGAATCGACCGACCGTTGATTATCAGTCTATTAACTTATAATGTCATTCTCATCCTCGCATCTCGACTCCCAGTTAGAGGAACATTGGGGCCCCTCTCGTGTTTGCTAAAGTTATTGTATAAATTTCTGTCGCACAATTATGTTATCATTTTTACGTTTATTATGCGTTCAAAATCTTCTCAAATTTTCTATTTCATCCTTAAGTTAGCTTTTTAAGGAGTTAGCGTTGTGTTATAAAAAATCCATTGGGATAATTTATTTTTATTGTAGTTCACGAAAGAAATCCTGTTGATTCGATTAATTCTATTTTACGAAGCGCGAAAAGCACGAGTTTACACACAATTAATCATTCGTCAACAATTTCAGTTTTATTTCTCACCTCCTATTTTCATTCTCCGGCTGTTTTCTCGACTTGTAAGCTACATTGTTCCGACCGCCCACCCTTAAGAGATCCAATCTGAGAATGGAATGAAGCCCTCACTCTTGCTCAACCTTTTTCTCTCTCTCTCTCTCTCTCTCTCTCTCTCTCTCTCAAGATCTGTAGATTGAGATTGAGATGAAAATAAAAGATCTTCAGGGAACAACCGACCAGAATCTTCGACAGGTTCTATCTCTCGGTGCTCGGAGCAAAACGAGAGATCATGACCCTATCTCTAAAACCATTTCGCAAGAGATTTCTAATGGTACCACGCCTCAAATCTTTTATTTTCATCTCGATCTTGATTACGTTATTAAAGTGACTTTAGTCGTGATACTTAAGATTCATCATTCCTGATTATGTCAATTATCTTTGATTACAAAGTCCATAGTAAATTACAGGAAACACTTAAAATATATATTTAGAAGACAAAATTCTTTTACATCTTTTGAGGCATCGAAAGAAAATCGAAACGTTGAAAAGAATTTTCTGAAATCTTAATATCTAGATAAACATCGAAACGAAACAGATTTAAAACAGATTCTGTAAACAATGTGATAATCGTCTTGCTGAGAGAGAGAGAGAGAGAGAGAGAGAGAGAGAGAGAGAGAGAAAGAGAGAGATCATCACGTTTACATACTGCAAAAATATACTTTTATATTATAGCCTTTAGCCACAGAAAAGTTGCACGCTGTTGGCCAACTAGTCTGAACGGATAAGGGAAGGAAAGCGAAGCACGATCGATCTCACGATACGAATAATCTCGTGGGGAAGCAAGCTTTGCCCGTCTGAGAAAGGACGTCTAAAGATTGTGAGTTTCCATCGGATTGCGTAAACAGCGTGGCCTTAATTATCACTAAAAATATCTTTATAATATTTGGGTTGTTATTCTGTGTTGTTTCCCTTAATTCAATATTTTAAAAATATTAAAATTTTAAAGCCCACAAATGTAACTTGAAAATATCGTATTCCTAAAATATTCTCTTTCATTTCGCGTATAAAACAATAAATAGTCATACACGGAAAGAACAATTTTGCCGAATCCAGATCTGAAAATAATTTTTGTTCAATAATCAAAATAATTTTGTACGAAAGTCAAAATAATTGCTAGAATATTAAAACGTTTTATAGCAATGCTTATCAGTTTTAACATTCCAACAAATTATTTTGATGATTCAATAAAAAATTATTTTTGGATCTGTTTTTAGCAAAAATTTTAAACCTTTCAACAAAATCGTTCTTTCCGTGTAGAATTTTTAATTCCAAGAACACTAGACTTAAAACTTTTAATTTCTTAAGTAAATTCGCTTTGCAGATTGCAAAATAAAATCAAACTTTACGCGTACAACATTTCCGTCGTTTCTATTTATAGAATATAATATTTTTCTTTTCTATTTATATAATATAATCTTTTTATATAAAATATCATTTACTATTACTGAATATTTGCTTTATATAATATAAATTCCTGATCTCAGATTATTTGTTCTCCCTCTTTATTAATCAAACAATAAAGATCATAAAAAGTAGTTCTCATCTCCCTTATCTCCTCGAATGACTAAGAAGAAACTCTCACGATCGTCGATGTATCCAGACTGATGCGATTACCAGGTATTATCTTTCAAGAATTATGCAAATGCCGTCAGGGGTCCGTAATAAGAGCCGTGGGCCCACCCGTGAGGGGCGATCTCGCGCCCGAAAAGTGAAGAAGACGAATCTCTCTCTGCCTCTCCCCTCCCCCTCCCCTAATTGATGGCAAGACTGGCGGCGCGATTAATCGATTTGCGCGCGCCGCACCGACCGCCGTCACGGTGCGGTGCCGCGAATAGGTGGAGACATCCACGGAGACGTCGTGGCGAATTACGTAAGCGGGACGCTTAGTTAACGTGGCACCAGGTTACTTTCCCTTCCTTTACGACCTCCTCGTAGGCAAGTAGCCGCGGAGCAACGGCTCACCGGCCGTAACTGCTCGCCGCTGAAAGCAGGATCGGCCGGCGGCGGCGCGGTCGCTTTGCTCCTCACCCCCGAGAGGATTTCACGCTCCGCGCAAAACACGGGGGCCCCCCCCCGAATGAGTGACGGTTTAAGGAAGTCCCTCGCTCGGATTTACGAGGAATCGATTTTACGCTGCAGGAAGAATTCTCGCGGCGCGGCGCGGCGTAGCGCGGATTTATTGCAGGCGGTTCGACGGATGATCAGCGCGTGAAACACATCGTCGTTAATTTTTAGAAAGTACACTTGAGAAGTAGCGCGCGATAAAAATGTAAATGTTAATGTCCTGGCTCGAAAAAAAAAATGTCTCCCGTAATTTCGTCGTTGAACTCGTCGTTGGGGGAGGGGGGGGGGAACGATTTTCTTGTAGGAGACGAAAGCGTTTGCAGCGAGATATAGATGTGAATTTGGCTTGCAAGAAATCGGCGTGTCTACATACTGATTTTTAACAAACTCCTTTTCCCGGAATGGAATTTAATTTATCTTTATCGTTGTAACATTTCACGTTTTTTTTTCAGTAGCTACTTATCAAAATTTTAAATTAAATGTCACGCCAACAGTTGAGATAAAAATGCTCCCTGATTTTCCTGCTATCAAACTAAATGTCACATACCTAAATTCCGCGTTATACCGGACTAGCCGAAAGAAAAAATGCATTCGAGTTATTTTCAAATAGCAAGGCAAATCATATCTCTCTCTCTCTCTCTCTCTCTCCCTCTCTCGTTATCACTTCTCACGTTCCTTTTCATGGTAAATAAAGCAAACTTGATCTTTCCCGAGACCGACAGAACCCGTGGAACGCAAAGTTAGTGCCCCGCCTTTATAGCTCGGTAAAGTGTAACGTTCCTCGACAAAAGCACGCCGGAACAACAACGGCGTTTACGAGATCTATTTCTCCTTTCCTTCCTCCTGTTTGCACCCTTTTTATCGTCCAATCGGTAACTCAAGCCGAGCGAAACGGTTTACCCGCGATGCCCATTACACCGCCATTACTTCCGGAACCGGCCAACGTTTACGTTGCAACTCCGCGCAGTATATAGGCGCGTCGGGAAAGTAGGCGTGGGAAGCAGATAAATAAATGGATGAATGAACGGAACTTTTCTCCGCGAGGATTACGCGCACAGTGGCTGCTGCCCGATCAGTCCCGAAGTAATATTTTCAAATGTCGCCGTAGAAAGTAAGACCTCTTGCGTAAGCGTTACAAAACTGAGTTATCGACAATCATATATTTTCGAGAATCAGATAGATGCCTTCGTCGCTGTCATCGATGTCTATAAGTCGCAATGAAAAAGAAAAAAATATGAAAAGGCATTTATGATACGTAATATAATTATGATCCACAGAGAAAAAAGAGAGAAAGAGAAAGATTGAAATTAAAAATCAAATTAAATAATATAAAGATATGGAAATTGATGTAAGAAATATAGATATTTCTTTTGTTATAATAAGGACTAATATAGAAGTAAAATTGAAAACAAAATTATAAGATAGAATGATGAAATAAATAAAATTGAAATAAAAAAAAATAAGAACATAATATCTATAAAGTTTAGACTAACTTATATATATGATCATAAGAAATTTTGATAACTAGAAATTGAAGATAAGACTACTTGGTTCATTAATTGAAATAGTCCTGCTTCTCTTATTTAGAAAAAAAATAAGATTTCTTAGAAGTATTTAAAGATTCAAACGGAAAGATTTGAGTGGCAAATAAAATAAGTAGCATGTTTCCACTATAAAAGATGTTTGCTAAATAATAATAGGATTATAAACAAGAGAGAAGAACTGAAAGAAGAAAAGACAGAGATAAAGAGATAAACAGCGAGAGAGAGAGAGAGAGAGAGAGAGAGAGAGAAAGAGTGAACTGCACGCTGAGCTACTTTCATATTTTCACTCCTGGCACACGGGAGAAAGTTCTCCGAGATGTGTGAAACCTGGTGAATGGCCACCATTGTTCTTACGGAGATGCGTATAATAATTGCGGTGCGGTGGACCCGCTGTTCGCTACAGATTCTGCGCCTCGAATGTCGCGAGGATTGTGCAATGAAAATTGTATCCGAGCTCATTATCTAACTCCACGACATTGTTCTCTTTTATCAGATTAGTATTTATGCAATTTTGCCACGCGAAATTGCTCGAAATGCCCGCTAGTTTTCTCTACTTTCGCGAACATGGGACTAATTTAACGAAAACATAATAATTATATTTTTATCATCATTATAATTTTTTATACAATTTTTTTTATACAATTGATGATTATGTAACATGCACAACTTTATTATATAAAATTAATCGACTCCTCCCCCCTCTCTGATTTCTTTCGACATCATCAAAAAATTGCCGGAAAAGAAATTCATAATTAATTTAATATATTAAATTGTTCGGTGGCTAATTTAATTCGCATATCTACGGCCGTTACGAAAGAACAAAATAATTCAAATTATTAAATCATGGATAAATGACAATTCATATTCATTTAATAGAAAACCTGTAATATTTCTTATCTAATGCGCAAAAGTGATAATAAATACGACTGGTAATGCGTGTTAATAATGCGTGTCGGTATATAGAATGATAGGATAATCAGCCGCGCGCACTCAATGAGAAAACCACTGATATAAGTACACGTTTCAGTAATACATATACATATCAGTGGAGAAAACGAAGTAGGTCGCTCTCGTGAATCATCATCGATCTCGCGGAGGACACGAGACGATCGACTTAATCGAGGTAACGTCTGCGCTTATCGCGACGATTCGCGATTCGCGAAGGAAAGTAGAACGATACGCGCGCGGTTTTTCAGTTTCACTGCGAAACGACGACGGCTGCGCGTGGAAATTTCACCGTTTTCATTCTCGCACCTCGCGCTCGGTACGTCTCGGTTTTATTGATCGACTCTTATTATTTATAAAGATAGCCAGGCGGACGTACCTATCTCGAAAGTGAAAGCCGAACGGTTGATAGATCAACAAGTCAAGATCAAAGGCGATCCACTTCTAGAAATGTCAGATATTTCCGTGATTTAAGCAAATATTGCTAAATACTTAATTTCTATGTTGTCGAGATGAGAGAGATATAATTATGTTTATATGCATAACTGGTAAATATTGTAAATATTTATTAATTAATATTAATTAAGAAAATATTTTAAATTTTGTACAATATTTTTAATATCAAAATACAATTTTACATTAAAATACATTTTTATTATCAATCATAATTTAACAATTAATTTCTCATTAATGGCGTTATATATACAATAAAATAAAATTATGTAAAAACAAAATGTAATTGTTAAATTTTAAAACAAAATTTAAATAATATCATTAAAAAATGTGTGTTGATAATAATTAATAAAGTGTTTATAAAGTTATAAAAATATAAAAAATTATTTTACACTTCACGATGGAAATTAAAGATGGAATAAATAAAAACATTTAATTAAATATCTATATATAAGCATTAAATTTATTATAAGATATTAAAACAAGATCACCTTTTTTTCTAAAAAAAATTAAGACATTTAATTAAATAATATAAAAATTTTATTTTGTAAACTTTTTCCTATTATTAATTTATTATTGCAATAAAATTATTGTAATTCACTTTTACTAAAAGAAAATCTCACTATATGTCCAAAAATTTTACATAAAATTAAAATATTAATTAATATTAAGTCGTTATTTCAATTAAATAAATATCATTTATAAGCCAGTATTAAATTATAATTTTTGTATTTATTATATATTTTAAATATTGCAAATATTATTTCGATAGTCACGATATTCAAAGTCGAAAAACAACAAAAATTACGTTGCTCTCATCGACCCGGCGAGATTATTCATTGAAAATATTAATAATCGATGACAAAGGTTAAGAATATTAAAAATTCTCGAAGAAAAATTCTTTTCAATTAATGCGTAAATGTAGACCAATATATTACAAATTGAATATTAATCTATAACGCGGTCGATTCAATCATTGAATCTCTAAGAACCTCAGAGGCGAAGCGAGGAATAACCGAAGACGAAGGAGAGAAGCCGAAGAAGAGCCGGAGGAGAAATAAAAAAAAAAGAAGAAGCGGAAGAGGACTCACCTTGCGCAGCCAAGAGCACCAGGACGAGCGGAAGGATCTGCTGCGACATCCTGAGAAAACGGCGTGCGATAGATCTAACGCCGAATTGTCAATCCCTAGTCGGCAAAAATATATTCCGGTTTGTATATGCCTGGGCAATATGCTCTCTCTTTCTCTGCGTTCGTCTGCGTGTGGGAGCCGAGGAAGCTCGGCTGATGAGTTTTCGTGTCGAGACTGGTCACTGGGAGAGGCGTTTGCCTGGTGTCTTATATGAGCGCCCCACTCTCCGTCCGATCCGGCCGATCTCTGGGGCCGCATAGGAAGGCTCTACCTGGAGAACACACCTGGTTTCGTCTATCGGGAGTTCTAGAGCTGATAGCGCTGCCCGATGACACCGTCGTAAATAAAAAAACGCATCCGCCGCGAAGGGGGACCCTTCGCATGACACTACGCGCTCGTTAGGAGACGATGACGCGTCCTTAATAATAATAATAATCGTTACACCCGGCGATTTATTACACATTGGAGGAAGGCCATTAGCTCGACGCTTAACGCTTCGACTACTATGGATGATTGTTCTACCTACGTCTCCTTGGGAGCAATGGCACTTGTACATTGGCTTACGACCTCATTTTCTGTTTAGTTCCCATTGGAATTTATCGCTTATACACGGTAATGATAATATAAATTTTAAGAGAAAAAAAGACAAAAACTTTCGAATAAAATGTCATTCTAACAAAATACAAATGTAATTGTTTAATATCATATCATTATTTCGGTAATTAAATTAATAAGTAACTTTTCTCGCACAAACAAGAGAAATTCTCATTAAAATACTTTTCTCGTCACAATCTATTTCCATGTGTTAATAATACACGATATGTGAAAAATAATTGTTAAACAGTACTAATGAATTGTTTGTATAAAACAGCAAAATAAAAACGAAGAATAAATAAATAAAGAGAAAAATAAATGAAGTAGAAAAAAAATAATTGAATAGAAAGTCGTTTATTATACTGATGTTAGAACATATAATTAAAGATTGTCATAAGACTGGAATGAAAATTAGATATCCCCATAAATCATTTATAAAAATTTCAATCTCATGTTCTATCAAACGTCAAATTGTCCGTATAAATTAGCTATTTGTTACAAATCGGTGCCGACAGCGCGTGCGTGTTTCTAAAACTCGCCCATTCCATTAGATACAAATTTTCCGTGATGGATAAAACAACATTGCCAGGCTCGACGGAGCAAGACTATAATTAATAGTTGATACCGTCGTGGCTTCAGCCTACAACGCGTACTCTTTCGTGATCGAAGAACAGGTATTCCGCTACGAAAGAGAGGGGAAGTGAAATTTTCTGTTCCGAAGAAAACGAGATCGTCACGGAGTGCGAGTAAAATTTTTGCTCTCGATTAATTAGGAAGAAAATTCATTCAGAAAAAATTTCATTTGTACACAAGGAAGAAAATTCATTCAGAAAAAAATTCACTATTTGTCAGTAGAAGACTAAAGGAATATTTGTAGTTCGTAATTACAGAATACTTTATTGATTAAATTTTGCATATTACTTTTTGAATAAAATATATTATTTCGATGTATTACAATATGCTAATATCTTTTCAACCCGTTAATTTCAACGTTTATAAATTTAACTCATAATTTCAATCTAATTAGTTAATTTCTTTCTAAACACTTTTATCTTAGCATCGAATAACAACCATAAAATCAAACTGATTCTATCATGGCATGAATCGCGTGTATCGTAATTATAATTATCGCGATATCCCGAGGCGAGATGCACAGAAGCACGTGGCGTCTATCTTTTCCGTTATCTCTCGAACCGCTACCGTTATAACCGCGACGTTCATTTCGCGTGCATGAGCGGCCTCGAGACGAGGCCTTCACGGTTTCTTTCCCTCCCCGGGTGGCGAGTGACCAGCCGACCAGCTTCACGCGATGAGACGGTGAAAATAAAGGTGAAACACTCTCGATGAGTCGCACGGGATGTCTACTTCTCATACAAATCGTGTCATATCGATATAACAATATATAGTTATATAACAGACATAATAATATATGATGGAGGAAAATTTATTCCGTAGGAAATTATTATTTTATATATAGAATGGAATACTGTCTAGAAAGAAAAATAATCTTTTTTTAATAATTTCAAGATGCTGCAATATATTTCGTTATTCGTTCAAATGTCGAGCAGTTTATAGGACACTTACAATACTCAATTGTTACACGGAAAGAACGATTTTGTTGAAAGGTCTAAAAATTTTGCTAAAAACAGATGTGAGAATAATTTTTTGTTCAATTATCAAAATAATTTGTTGGAATGTTAAAACTGATAAACATTGCTATGAAACGTTTTGATATTCTAGCAATTATTTTGACTTTCGCACAAAATTATTTTGATTATTCAACAAAAATTATTTTCAGATCTGGATTCAGCAAAATTTTTCTTTCTGTGTAGTATTATGTACGAGTACGTATACAACAGTCTCGATATACCAAAGAATATAGAAAGATAATGAATTGATGGCTCCTTTCTCACCACCTTTCACTCGTTTCCTCGTGATCCACCGGGAATTTCTACGAATCCCTACGCCGATCCCGACCAAGGAATCCTGATCGCTTACTGCAGCGACATTCCAATTCCCACGGAAATTCGCGATAGAAAGAATTCGAAGCGTCTCAAGGATGATCAGATTTCTTGTGTTCAGAGCATCGCTTTTTAATCCAGTTGCCGAGTCGAGGGAACAAGATTTCATTGTACACAAGATAGAAAAATTCTTTCCAAGAATGCTAATGTATTTGTCTGCGTTTCAAAGGTTAGCCGAATTAATTTTGAATTATATTTTTAATAGATATTATGTGACGTTCAATTCTCTAATTGTAAGTGCATATCGATTGTTCGAATTACAAAAGGCAGAAATTTTTCAATTTTCGAAATTGGAAAATTATCGTAATAGAAACATCACTCTACGCTCTTTCAATTATCAAAACAAGAAAAAATGCTGATTAATAAAGAAAACAACAAACAAAAGTTTCTTGGAGATGTCCGAGTTAGAATATATACGATATAAAAATATTGCATTAAACGACCGCCGCTTTCCGGAAGGATGAAAAGAGCTCAAGACGCCTGGCATTTCAAGGATTTTCACTGAGTGCTCTTATGCAAGCGAAGATAACGACGTAGAGTATAAAAACGAACGTTTGTTGGATAAAATTATCACGATGCTCGGTGGGAATGGTCACAAGAGGAAACGAGACACATAAGAATGAAACAATGGGGCGCCCAGTTTCACAACTATCGCGCAATCCCACCCTCGATTTGCAAAAGAGGAGGTCGATCGTTAACGTATCAAATTACTCACGATCACGCGGACATTCGTGTTTTCTGTCCTGTAACTGCAACTCTCAGAGATGTGTAAATTCTAAAAAGTTCTATAAAAATTATATGATAAGAAATACATGATTAATAAAATGATCAAGATAAAGTTATAACAAAGACGATTTGGAAAATTAAAATTGCTTTATAAATTTCTTATTTTGAATCTTGTTATAAAAAAATGTGAAAAATTTTAATTAATAACATAAATTTAAAGAATAAATTACAGACAAGATTAATATATGAATTGATATTTAGAAATTATAAAAAAAATATATAGAAACATACAAAATAGAAATTAATGATAAAAATATAAACATATAGGAAAAGTCTTAATGTAAATATTATTGCTTTTAAATATATTCTTACAAAAATTAATATTAGAATTTTTTAATACATTTTACAATTAGAGAACGCCTAGACAGTGGCAAGCCGTGTTGCACTACAGCAAAACTGGTTACATCTCGATAGAGATATCATTTAATTTTAATAGATGTAATATACAATCCACGTAAAAGCGCTCACAAAAAATATTTCTTTTTACATTTTTTATTATAAAGTATGATTTAGAAAAACTAATTTTATTTTATCTGTAATCACTTGAGCTTTGAAATTTAAAAAAATACACATTTATATAATCTTGCACATCCACTAAAGTAATTTTTTTAATATAAAATAGGATTTAATGTATGTAAGAATTAATTTATATGTTATATTCAAAGATAAGTATTATCGAAACGTACATGACATATACAAGTTTAAAGATTAATACTCTCTCTAATACTCTCGTCTGCCTCATGCAAAATTCTGCGATAGTGCAACTTTCCGCGATGCAATCGCATTAACGTGTTACACACATTGCCGTAATTGACTGGATGCAGTAATAGCACAAGGCATGCCAACAAATTTCTACTTTTCCAAAGTTACGTAATCAGAAACTTATTTCAAACCTTGTTTTAAAATTTTCATTTCAAGAATATTTTCAATCTTGCACGTAACATTATAATCTTCAAATATAAAAAAATCACTAGTCCAATACTATATATTATTTCAAGAAAACGAAACTACGAAAGTTTACAAAGATATGTAAACTTTGACAACAAAGATAAATTTATATCCTCGCTAAATTTAGAATTGATTTTTTCAGAATAGAAAATATCAATCAAAGATAAATTTACATTCTCAATAAATTTATAATTGATTTTTTCATAACAAAAGAATATATTATTATATTGTTTTATATACATATAGAATATAAATTATAATTTGTACCTTATAATATGTTTCTCTTCTCTACTATTGTATATTGTTTGATTTTGTATACGTTTTAAATTACTTTTAAATTAATTTATATATTATATTTTTATAAAAATAGTTTAGATTCACACAAATACACAAAAAAAGAGTTTCTAAAACCTTTGTTCTTTCTAAAAAATGTTTTATTCTACTGGTGATGGTATACATGTTAACACTTAAACTCCGAATTAAGATTCTGCCTACCCTATATGTCACGTCGGTGTCGCAAGGATCAGAACCTTGTTGAAAACCGCGAACACCTGTCACCATGCGAAATTACGAAACGCGCCGCGTGGCGCGTGCAATCACGTAAAATCACTGAGATTGTAAGTGTCCCGGCGAGAAAGTAATTAACGAGGAAATGTCTCGTGTTTTCTAACACCTCACGTAGAGGGGCGAGGCCAACACTCTTTCACCGGTACGACACTTGATGTATGATATCACCGATTATGTAAATTAAATGAAATGTCACGACAAAATTACTTTCCGGCAAATTACGTTA